GGGCCGTAGGGGTGGGGGTCGGCGCCGCCGTCCTGGTCTACAAGAAGCAACTGATGGCCAAAGTGGTGCCGATAGGAAAAGTGTAGTGTTGACGATTCTTATTATCATTAGCTCCAGATATGTTTGTACATCTATAACTGCCTCAAGAAGCGAGAAGAAGTTGAACTTGTAAATAGTAGCTCACATTAGTATGTATAGTTTAAGTGTTTTTGCTGGATTCTTTTACCTGTTTATTCATGACCTGTACTTAGCTTGTAAGAGCATAAAGATACAATAAAGGTCTTTCATCCATTTATTCGTTCATTCATTCATTACATATATATGAGTGATAGGAATCATAGGATTTTCAGGGCGTAGATTTCTGCAAAATACCATTGATATTAAGCTGCCAAATGCATGTATTACAGGTATATCTGACATCGACGGGCTATTTGTGTGTTATATCGTTATTATCAGGCTTATAAATTCGCTACGAGACAATATCAATGTGTTAAAAAAAATTAAGCTCGAGAATGATGTCAATGACATCGATGTAAAATGTAAAATCAAATCAAATGTTGTTACTAATTGATATCATTATTATCACTACTATCATCGTTATTGTTTTCATTTGCTGTTTTTGCTCATACTGCTGCCGACCTGTTATGTATCATTTATTACTCATCGAATGATTTATTATTTATCGTTGGCTCGCTGTTCTATTTACTTCAACGTTCATTATATGATTTGTTAATTCTTTGTCATCACCCTTGTAAATAGTGTTGTTATGATTTCTGTTATTGTTTATTTTGTTTATTATTTATGTAATCCTTATCAGTTTATATTGGTGGGGGCTTTAAAAGGAGTAATTTTCCTGTTTCCCCCAACCTTTTTACATTTTGTTGTAAATAAAGCTGAAATAAATAAATAAAATGATTTCAGGCACGATAGGATAGCAAAAGGCCTGCTGTACAAATTGCCAATAGGAATCATGTGTTTGTACCGTTGTGACGTGTGACTTGAAGTTTGAAAAGTTTGCAATAGACAGAATCTGATAATAAACTGAAGAAAAATCAAACTCAAAGTGGTTCTAATCTTTATTTCTAACTAACGTTACATGAATGGAAACGTCCATAAATAAATGGCATTCTGTAGTTAGAAGGTAAAGTTGCAAGTGAAGAAAGAAGAAGTATGATTGTAATCGATATAATGTAATTCGGCAGATCATATCTACTTAAACGTTGCGGTAACACCTTGTATGAATTTTAGTTAATTAAGCCATTGTGCAGTGTCTGTCGTTCGGCTCCAAACCGCTAGATGGGGCGATCGACTGAACATTGATTGTTCTCAGGTTTCACGGGTTAGTTGACCGTAACGTCTTACGTTTCTTTCCTTTGTGCTGGGATTTTCCGAGGTTTGGCTGCACTAACACAGCTTACTGTTTAAGCTTTATGTTACTAACATCAAGTTTCTAACATTGCAGATTAAGGAGACGAGCGTAATAGAATGTAAACTTTGTTATTCTTAAATCATAGTTACAACAAAATTATTTTCCTGATGAGGTTAATTTGCAATTGTGGGAGGGGGGTAACTAACTTTGTCATTATTGTCAGAATTTATACACATAGGATGCGGCTCGCAAGAATTAGCTTGAAATTTAGTTAACAGTCAACTCTAATTTTGCAGTTTTTCTTTGGTACAAAAACTCTTCCAAAGCACAACAGTTAAATGCTATAAAGAATGGCCTTCAAGCAATCAATATATCATGATCACCTTTGGCGGTAAATTCAAAAATTGTATAGTTAGCATTATTACAATGTGACTCATCACCCGAAAATAATTTTTTGTTGATAAGTAATGACTACTTAAAAACATGACAATATGTTACAGAATGTTTTTTTTTTACTTGAGACAGGTCATAAAAGCAATGAAATTAACCAACTTTTAATTACCTTGGCACTAAAAGTTTAAAACCTTGGTTATATGGCTCCTTGGTTATGTTACCTGAGCTTCAAATTTTCTTAACTAGATTTTCTGATAATAGAAATAAACAACCATAAACCCCTCTAAATCTCTTCTTGTATTTTTTTTAAATTATTTTTTAGATTTATAAATTATTCTTGGCAGACTTTCAACAGCTATTTATACTAACTTGTTATAATAAACAATGCACAGTTTGTACATAAAACATCAACAATTTCTGACATGTTGCCAAGTGGGTGATCTGTACTCCGAGGAATGTTTGTTTCTGAATCAAGAAGGATCCAGAAGCAAACTTTCATCGTGACTGATTACATCGAGCACATACCAGCCTGTTGACACACTGTCTCCCAAAACAATGCCTCAACGGAAGATAACAAGAAGAATGAGCTGTTTAAAAACTACTCAAAAATCCCCAACGACTGTTTGTATACTGACCCTTGTTTGTTCAGCCAGTGCCTTTGTACAAAGGGAACTGAAGTAATGATTTTTCTGGCTGTCTGCGTTCGTGCTTACGAGAAAAATCACTTAGCGAGCAGCCTTCAATGTTCGACTGGCACTAGACTGAATCTTGTGTGTTGACATGCATTTAGGGGTCAGTGTTCAATGTGATTGTTGCAAGGAACATAGCCAGTTCTTTTGTATGTAGTGATTTTTTCTGGTGGTCTGTGTTCGTGCTTACTAGAAAAATCACTTAACAAGAACGTGCAACCAGCTTTAGACTTCTGGTGTGTTGACTGTGCGTTTAGGGGTCAGTGTTTATGAGTGATGCAAGGGTTAAAGTCATAGGCAGTTCTTTTGTATTTTTCTGGCGGTCTGTGTTCGTGCTAACGTCAAGAAAATCACTTAACAAGCAACGTGCAACTGGAGCTAGACTTCTGGTGTGTTGACTGTGCGTTTAGGGGTCAGTGTTCGTAGACTGAATCCCGTGTGTTGACTGTGCTTCTAGCCTTTTTAGGGGTCAGTGTTAGTGAGTGGTTCCAGGGTTAACCAACACCGGGGGCCGGCAACAGTTCCCGTCATGCTGGCTTGCCGTGAATGGGCACAACCTGCCGCGGCTGGACAAGGGTTAACCACGCCTGAACGAACATGAAAGCAACTCTGCAACTGATCCTCCAAGTTTGGATATTGCAGACAGACCGGCTGTCTCTCCCTGGCTGTAACATTGGAGGAAAAAAAGCTGACAAAATGGACGAGATTGATCTTAAATGCGACTCTGAACCGGCCTTAAGAAGAAATCAATGCACCTGCCTGGATGGCTCGATTTCAGGTGAGCTTTTGTACGTGGTATTTATACAGGTGACGTAGTCCTGCCTGTGGGTTAGACAATAGCCTGGTGTTGACTCAGCCACAGCGCTGAGTTTATTTGTGTATCATCCATACATAAAAAACTGCTCGCGGCCGCGCTATCTTCGCTTGAGGTGAGGCAATACAGTTTTATGTGTGTACACAAGACTCGACGGTGTGTTTGAACGAATTATACAAAAACGTCAGGCCTATTGTGAGGCCGTGCCTGTTCGTGCGGTTTGTGACAGGTGCGTTTGTTTGGTGTTTTGTTCGCAGGTGGGGTTCGGACACGGTGTGACTTAGCAACTGGCAAGCCGGCATGACTTATTATTCCACTAGTCTCCCACAAACCATTATGTGAGAAGTCAAGGTGCTGTGGTCGGGCTACAACAGACCAAGAGCTGCTTAGAATAGAGCCAGCATACTGTCTAACAAAATCTCAACTGAAAGTTGCTGTTCAGCTGTGACAGTGGGGATGAAAAGGCCATGACCAGACAGTTAGTCATTAATTTTCTCAGCCATCCCTGAAGCGAAGGCCAAGTCACAGTGAAGGGAACATCATGTACTGTGGAGCCTACAACAGACCAAGAGGCGTGAGGTGCTTAGAACACTGTTAACCATTTGTGTGTCAAAATCTCAACTGCCAGTCACTGTACGGATGAAACAGACAGTAAGGATGGAAGAGCCATTGGGGTGAGCACACAGTTCATCATTACTATTTCTTCAGCCATCTCAGAAGCCTATGTTACAGTGAAGATCTAGAGGACATCATGATTCTGTAAAATGGTTCACACTTGACCTCAATGGCTGCAGACGTACAGCCTAGATCGCTCGTGTCGCGTTCCAAGGTCAGGTTTGAGGGCGTCAGCGTGCACAGCATTGACAGCACGGAGTACAATGTCACAGACAACGACCTTGACAGTGTGAAATCTGCGCTGTCAGAACCAGAGAAAGAATTTGATGACAACAAGTCGAAAAATGAAGACTCAAATGATGAGCTTCAAGATATTTCACCAGCTGAAAGAGATGTACACCTGTCTGAAGACATTAAAGGTAACTGAATGTCAACGTATATATGAATGTTTTTCTTAAGGTTTTTAATCATCCGTGATGTTTGATATTATAATTGTATTTGTAAGTTAGCAATAATTTAGATTTTCTCAAATTCTGTCAATGCTAATAAAGTTTTCTTATGTCTTAAAAAAAGGTTTTGAAAACCATAAAGAGAAGACAGGAAGAGAGGCAATGGTTTCACCAGAAGACACCTCGGGAAGAATCTTGGTACAGACCTCCATCCCGTATGGGTTCCAGCACAGACAGATGTATGAACACAACAAGAAGCTGACTGATGTCATTGATGGTATGTATACACTATCTACATATCTGTATCTATTAGTAGAGGGGATTCATTCCTCAAGCTAACCGACATCTTACACACACAGTCGTCCCTCAGTAAGACATCTGGAGCCGCATAGTTCCCATTTAGAACTGACAGGCACAGGCTGAATATCTCAATGGCCAGTGTAACTGCTCTTTGGCATAACACATCAGCTTCTTTTGGTATTACACAATGTACATAATAATCTATTATATACTGCCCTTTCTATGGCCGCAGAATAACTGCTCTTTGGCATAACAAACCAGCTTCTTTGAAAAAAAGGAGACTATTCCTCTACTATGTGGTACTTGAGAAAAGTGCTGGTACAGTAACTAGTTTGCAGTTTGAACCATTTGGGTTAACTGTAACATGAGAAAGAAATGTGATACACTCTCCACTTAAGTCTGTCTGCAGAGAATATCACCTGAGTTTTTGGTTTCTATAGTCCATGGCAGTTTTATGAAAGCACAGTACAGTAGCCTTGTTTTACCTACAGAATGAACATTGAAAGCTCCTATGTGTTAGAGGAACATTTACAGTTATATGTATGTAGCAAAATGAGGTTCAATGTTGTACAACATTTGTTTTTTGTGGAATGAAACCTTGGTTGGGGAGGTAGAAGGTGGAAAGAAGGAAGGTAGAAGGAGAGGGATGGGCTCCACCTTCCAATACTGTGCCCTAGACACAGTGGACTAACAACCCACTGCCCCTACAGCCTCAAAAAAAGCTTTGAGACTACTTTTAATTTATTTCTAAAAAAATCTGCCTGATCTTTTTTTCCAGTGACGTTTAACGGCCGTCTGCGGATGTTCTCTATCCTGGACACACGGGGGATCACCTGCTGGTACAGCGATGTCATCGTTGGACATCCTGGTCAGTAACACAATGATTCCAATTTCACTAGAATATACCAGAATTATAATAATATTATTCTACTCAACTACCAAGTAACAGTAACTGCAAATCATTCAACCTTCCTACAGCAAATTCATGACACTGCAAATATGCCTTCTGTAGAACCATGTCAACCTTGAAGTTAGAACTGCGGAAATCTCTCTTACCCTCTTGAATAAAATTTTCACAGTTTGCAGTGATGTTGCCATATTTGCCAAAAACATAGATGAAAATATATGCTCATTTCGTTACAATATTTAGTGTTCCAAGTAATGATTTATATTAGTCACAGTAAAACAATTTTTGATTACTAATTATAGAAGTACTTTCCGTAAATAATTTCATCAGGTTGGAAGATACTTAGGGTATAGAATTTTCTTCTTACACAACCAGTAACGTAAGCAGGTGAGAACCTTACTGGTTGTGTAAGAAGAAAATTCTATACCCTATAGAAGTACTGTTTTAATTAAATCTAGATTAAAAGCATGTATTTGTAACTGTCTTATGTTATCGCTCCAGTTGTGCGCAGCCTTCACTACCCCAAGTACATGTTCAATGTCATCAAGAAGATCACTTTCTCCAAGAAGTACAACGTTTACTTCACCCTGGGGAAAGACTTCTCTCTCAAGGTGAGATCTTCAACAAATCTTCAACAAACCTTAAGACGTACATCTGCTCTAGTCTACAGTCTATGTATAATAATGATAACAATACCCTTTATTATACAACAATTGTTTGATGGTACATTGCATGGTATCTACTGCTATGCATCAAAAAATACATGTAAGACTCTGCATTTTTCCTCTAGCTTCCACTATGATATACGTTCCCTGACCTTAGTGCTGAAATACCTTCTTCCACCATATACTATGCTGTTCCATGATACAACCACTCCTACATCATTGTATGTAAATATATAAATGCTCTTCCTATGTTAGGTATGTTAGGGTTACAAAAATAACTTTGACAAGATGTGTTCTGAATCAAGGATAACTCTGAGAACCAACAAATGAAATTTGTGAGGCCATGAACTTACCTTCATCCACAAAAAGATAGTCAAGAAAAATACTGTGTGTTCTTCCTATCCCAGGTTTGCAACAACAATATTCCACGGTACTAACTACTCATATGTATCCTTTCTTATTCCAGGTTTATAACAAGAACTTTGACGAGACGTGTTCCGTTGAGAACCATGACCTGAAGTCTGTCCTCTTCATGCTGTGGAATCCTGGGAGAGATGAGCTGATCACAGGGGGGGTGGGGGGCACCAAGGTGTGGGAGTTCACCAAGAGGCTTGAGATCATGGCTGACATACGGCCCATGTCCAACTACAGGCTGGTACTCAAGTAAGGAGATGTTTTAACACTGATCTCTATATTGGTGTGAAAGATCATAAGAGCTTGTTGTTTTCTACCTCCATGGTTGTATCTAGAACCAGTTGCTCTTAAGCACAGTTGTAGATAGTCCACACATATCCAGAACTGTGCCTGGGGCAAATCTTTGTTCTTGGATACGGGGAGACTATCCAGAACCTTACCTGATTCTAACCCTAAGCCCTAGTCAGGCATTGAACTAGACAGGCAAGTTTCTAGATTGTCTTTGACAAATTTGTTGGCTTCTTTTGTAGTTTGTAGTTTGGGTGTTACAGAGAGTCAACAAGATCATTTTGTTTCATCTTTTAAATCTGTGTCCTTGCAGACATGAGTGGCCTAACGTAGGAGGCAGCTGGGCACGTTATGTGCAGCTGGACCTGAACATGCAGCATCTCTACTGCTGTACCGAGACTGACCTCTACTGTTACAGCACAGAGGGACAGCTGCTGTACAAGATACTCAGGTTAGTGAGTTAGCTGTCTGTATATCTGTACTGCTGTACCGAGACTGACCTCTACTGTTACAGCACTGAGGGACAGCTGCTGTACAAGATCCTCAGGTAACAGCATGGTCATTTTCATTGTAGGTTGTCATACAACTTCGATGCCACAGAATTTTCAGGCAGCCTGGGACAGAAACAACCAAGGACAAGGATCTAAGACAAACGTTTTTGTAACATGACAGCTGAATTTTGCAGGACACATGCACGACTACTCCCTAAGTTTGTGATTGCACTACGATCGTACAGCAATTGACTGGGCCCTAAGTAAACCGTCTGAATGTGGCATGCCACATCTATGTAGCTATAGCTGGTCCTGTGTACTGAGCCTTAGCCATGAGTGATGTAGGAAAACAATGTTGTAAAGAGCATTCCTGTCAAATGCAGAATACAGTGTTACCAGTATACATGTGTATTTTTTTAATAAGATTAGTATTATAGTCCACAAGTTTTTCCGTTCTCTGTTCCCACAGGGCCCACAAGACCTTCATCACAGGGTGCCAGTTCTCCCAGCATGCCAAGCTGCTGGTCACCAGTAGCCATGATTTTGAAGGTATGTGTATGACATGAATTTCCTGTAATACACTTTATTATTAGAATTAGAGGTAGAGTGACATAGAACAGAACATCCTGGAGGGACATGTCTGCAGTCGCCATGCATCTGCCCTGATGATTGCAGTTTGGTTGACATAGAGATGTAGAGAGAAGTGTTGAGCATGCTTTGAGAGAACATGTGTCATGTACATGTACAAGGAAAAGGCAGGTTCAGTTTGAAAGAAATCTGCTAGTGGGTAACCTGTCCTTGGTGCTGAAATACAATCAAAGCTCTGCTGAAACTTTGGAAGTCTAAAAAAGAAAACCAACCAATGACACCAGAAAATACATATCAACCATTTTGTCAGTCTGTATCTGAACCCTGCCTGTCCTTGGTGCTGAAATAACATCAAACCTCTGCTTCTGAACTTTGTGTCCACAGTTAAGGTGTGGAGCATTAAGGGTGGTCTGGTGCACGTGTTCCGGGGTCACTCCCGAGGGGTCACCCAGCTGGTCCTGCACCCCGCGACCTCTGCGCTCGTGCTGACCTCTTCGCTGGACGGAACCGTCAAGATGTGGTCACTCGACACCATGGACATCATTTACAGGTGATACAGTCTGTCATACCAAATAACGCATAAATTACCAAATAAGGCATAAATTACCAAATAAGGCATACATTACCAAATAAGGCATACATTACCAAATAAGGAACACACCACCAAATAAGGCATACACACACTACCAAATAAGACATAGTTAAAGAGTTTGACTTGTTCCAACTCAAGAAGGAAACTCACCATAAATTTTCGGCTGATCCCGTCAACCTTCGTCAGATTTGTGATGCAGTCACTGACTTTCCGGAAGTCAGAAACGTGATGACGTCAGGAGTGCATCAAAATTGGCGGGAAGACGGTATCTCCCACCATCACGGTTCAGAGAGGGTTGGTGGGCCCTGATGTAAACTGCCTCCTTCACGCCTCTCACAAAGTGATGGTGGGAGATACTGTCTTCCCGCCAATTTTGATGCACTCCTGACGTCATCACGTTTCCGACTTCCGGACTCTTTAACTATGGATTCTACCAACACAGATGAGCTTTCATTCGAAAATAAGACATACTCTGCCAAATAAGGCATTGACTACCAAGTAAGGCATAGACTACCAAATAAGGCATACATTACCAAATAAGGCATACATCACCAAATAAGGCATACACCACCAAATAAGGCTTACACCATCCTCTATACCTCTTGTTTTCAGCCTGAGTCTACACAAAGAAGGTATCCAGTGGATGGGTCTGACCAATGACAACCTTCTGTACTGCGCCTCGCCGCGCCGGATCAGCACCTGGTTCCTGAACCACGTGGTGGACTTCTGGGCACACGCTCGCTGTCGGGCGTGCTCGCTAACCGTCGTCCCGGCAACCGGCAAGAGCAAGAGGGTCATGCTCGTGGGGGACGACTCAAGGTAGGAACAATCTTCAATCTGCCTCCAACAGAAAATCTTTGTAGTTCTCCGTAAAAAAAATGAAGCAGTGTCCTTATTCAAGGGGGAATGTGACCTCATGTGGCACCTGAAAGCAGATGCTGGGGTAGAAAATGACAAAACATGATGTTGTGTGCTGCAGTTGAAAAGAGCTAAGCTTTCCTTAGCACAATGACCTACTCTGGATCCTGTAAATACTGTACATAGCGTCTGTCTTTTTTGTCATTGCAAAAGTGGAAAAGTAGTCGAAAAGTAGCTCAACCGTTCATTGAATTCATTTTTGATTGAGCTGAACTGTTTTGTGATAATCATTATACCCAGCATGGTTCTTCTCAACCAAAGACAACCCGATGTTTCCATGATTGTCTGTCATCTTCCTCAGAGAATGACTTTTACGTGTAGGATGTGAATACAGAATGTTGTTATACAGTCATTTACCAACCTAATGACATTGCACGTATTTCCCTTCCCCCAGCGTGCGACTGTTTTCGCGTAAGGAACGTAAGAACCTGTCCACGGTGCTCCCTCCCCCGTCCATCTCCCCCTTCCAGCAGGTGGAGTGTGTGGCCTACAACAGGACACACAACATGGCCTTTCTACTCATCAACCCATGGGAGATATGGGCCTATACTACCAAGTAAGGCTTTAATACACCACAAACTAAGGTATACAGTACATGTACCCATGTAGTGTACAACAGGACCCACAACATGGCCTTTCTACTCATCAACCCATGGGAGATATGGGCCTATACTACCAAGTAAGGGCTTATACTGCTAAATATGGCATACACTACCTACTAAATAACGTACACACTACCGAATAAGGCAATTACTACCAAATAAGGCATGCATCACCAAATAAGGCATATGTTACCAAATACATGTAAGGCATATGCCACTACACCACCAAATAAGTCTTAAACTTTAAAGGATAGGTTGGTCGAAGTCATTGTGAATCAACTGTACTTTTTCAACACAAAAAGACTTAGTACTCAAATTTTTTACTGTTCAACTTCAGTCTCTGACCTTAGTGCTGAAGTACGTTCTTCCAGCGATTACTGTGAACAGTAAAAATGAGTCATTCTCAAGCCTTTGGAGTAAACTCCTCCATGTGTACTACAAGACAGCTTCCCTGTCCTTGGTGCTGAACTCCCATCTCTTCCCTCTCCAGGAGTGACCCAGCCTGTCGACACCTTGTGTGGGATATAGCTGAAATCCAGGAAGAGTATGTCACTAAGGCTAAAGAGGCAGCAGCAGACATAGAGAAAAGGCAGCTCAGGTGGGTGTCTGTTTGTCAACATCTTGGATTTAGGAAATAGTTTTTGTTGTTACAGTAGTTGAAGTCAACATATACATGGTTTCTATCCAGGAGTGTGTTATAGTTAACACACAGGAGTATGTTTCTTAGCAGTTCACATTTTGAGGGTTTTTATGAAAGTTCATCTGTGTTGGTAGTAATCATAGTAAAATGTTGAACTTTATTCCAACACACAATTACACAGGGATCAAATTTTCAGCGACCATGTAGAGGGTTTGTACGGCTTATAGTTCACATGTAGAACATCATGACTTAGCCCGAGTTTTAACCCCTCCCCCAGGTTTTACATGTCAATATGTACTTAATCTGCTATTTGTTCCAGACCTTCAAACCGTGCGGCTCTGCGTAAACTGCAGCAGACGGAAAAGGCCACATACAACGGCTGGGGACATCAGGATGTCGTGCCATGTACAAGTCTGGGGACTCTGCAGGTCTGTTAACATTGTTTGTTTGTTTTTTGTACGGAGAAGGCCACATACAACGGCTGGGGACATCAGGATGTTGGGCCTTGCACCAGTCTGGGATTACCAATTAACACATGACTGAGCAATTCACTCATATTGGGGAGGACCCCTATTCTCTCAACACAAATGGATAAGAATGACTATGATGAAACTAAACTCTTCTATATCACCGCATCAAATCCCTGTAAAACCCAATCTCTGGACTCAAGAATTACGTATTGATCATTCGCAGTAAACTTTAAGTACAAGTCACTGAATTGCAAATCAATGTACATTTCATTTTAAAATCCAAAAGTTTATACTATTGCACATAATGAAGTTAAAACCAATACAGAACCATTAGGAATAATTGCACATACCCACTGTACCCACTCAGGTAACCTATCATAAGTTAGTGCCACCCAAAACAATTCCTTCTGCAAAGGTAAACACACTTAATCACCTCCCACAGGTAGGAGTAGAGTACTGGACAGAGAACGGCCGCTGCTGCCCGCGAGCCTCAGCCTTCCTCCTGATGGGGTATCTGTATCTGTATAGTTCTTTCTTGGACCATTCTGCAAAACATTTCACAATACCACAACTAATTCATTCTTTGCAACCTTCTGCAGGTAGGAGTAGAGTACTGGACAGAGAATGGCCGTTGTTGCCCGCGTGCGTCAGCCTTCCTGCTGATGGGGATGCAGGACGGACGGGTTCTCTTCTCTCTCTCCCTCTCTCTCTCTCTCTCTCTGTCTCTCTCCAGTTTAATGTCTGTTCTTCCCCCCTCCCACAGGTAGGAGTAGAGTACTGGACAGAGAACGGCCGCTGCTGCCCTCGAGCCTCAGCCTTCCTCCTGATGGGGTATCTGTATCTGTATAGTTCTTTCTTGGACCATTCTGCAAAACATTTCACAATACCACAACTAATTCATTCTTTGCAACCTTCTGCAGGTAGGAGTAGAGTACTGGACAGAGAACGGCCGCTGCTGCCCACGTGCGTCAGCCTTCCTCCTGATGGGGATGCAGGACGGACGGGTTCTCTTCATGGACGTGCAGGAACCAGGGGTGAAGCATCTGGAACTACAGGCTAACAAAGACGCCGTGAGTATTCCCTATCTGTATGGTTCCCTTTATGAAGTTGACATGCTTGAATCTGGTGTATAAGCTTTAGTTTGAATGTGGTAAGGATGGGTGGGTTCTCTTCATGGACGTACAAGAACCAGGTGTGAAGCATCTGGAGCTGCAGGCTAACAAAGATGCTGTAAGTATTATGTATCTCTGTAATTCCCTGTATATGTTCACAGCTGTTCAAATCTGCTAGGGAAAAAAGATATCAACCTGTCCTTGGTGCTGAAATGTAATCAAACCTCTGCTGAAACCTGCAGACCCATTCATGACTTCAGAACATTGATGCTGTATCTGTCAGCAAGGATTTGAAATTCTATTGCTAACTTCAAGATTTTTACACTTGAGTGTCACTTGAATGTCTACACGATGTACAATATTTCTGATTTTTCATGCTTAAATTGTGGATCAATCAGGCCAGAGCTTTAGAAAAATTTTCAGAAATACAGCAATTTTTTATGAGAATTTGTTTGCATGACTGGTAAACTAGGCTTTAGGCATAACACACAACTTTTTTCCTGTAGATCATAGAAGTGTACCATGACACAGAGCACCAGTGCCTGGTGACCAGGACCAGACAACAGGACTGGGACGTTCTACAGTTCTTCTCTCTGCCTGAACTCTCACTGCTGCACCTCACCAGGATAGGGTCTGATGTGGTGGCACATGCTCGCATTGTAAGTCAGGATTTCATGTTCAAATATGTACACTTTGCTGCGGTTTAAGTGTTAAGGTTTCAACTTTATTTTCCAGATGATAGGGTTCTATTTAACAATAACCTCCCTACACTATTATTACTTAGCAACACAGAGCATATGAATCTTAGACTATAGTACTCTCACCTCTCGAATAAAAGTACCCCCTGGAATAAAAGTACCCCCCGGACAAATCTTCAAAATGTAATAAAAGTACCCCCTGGAATAAAAGTACCCCCCGGAAAATTTTTAATTGACATGTGAAAGCAATGTTTATGCTACTAAAATGTGTTCTCATGGTGTACATGTATGTTTCCCTTGCAAACACAGGTCCCAAATAAACATACCCCCGGAAAAAAAGTACCCCCGAGAAATCTTCAAAACCTAATAAATATCCCCCCCCCCAGAATAAACATACCCCTGGAAAATTACCAAATTATCAGCCTGCATTCTTACAGGTTAATAAGAGGTACATGCCTTTGTATATGTCGTGCAGTCTAATGACATAATCCATCTACATTCTAACTTGAGATCTGACTCTGAGTTCACACAATTTGTTGTTGATCATTACATTGCATGCATGCATTGAGCAACTATCAAGTTTTGGGATAAGAGTCCTTGATTTTTTAAGGTTAAGAAAAATTACATGAATAGAGTTTGAAGTTGAACAGAAATTTACAATATGCTAAATACATGCTCTATACAAATTTGCATTAATGTGTAAAAAGACATAGGGAAAAGAATCAAATATAGAATATAATGTTAGATTTTGAATGGTATTTCATTTTTATACCTTTAAAAAAAACTTCAATCAGTTTTCAAACAATTGACACAATCCACAAGTCACACACAAAGTTCACACGAGAATAGCAACAATTCGGACTGCCACAATCTCAAGGGTCTCAGGTTTCACTTACAAAATGTAGCAAGCTTTGAAGTTTGTGTTAGTATGCAAATGATGGGAGGCGGGGCTTGGAAGAATGGTTCATTCTCTAGTAGGGGGACATGAATATTTTAAAACATTTTGATGTGTACTTGATATGAATAGATTGCAAGTTTTGTCATGTCAACACCTTTTTAAGAATTACTCAACTCTTCCATAATGTAACATCTATATGTGATTTTTTAAGAAAGAGTTTTATTCACATTTAAAAATCATAGCTTCCCCATACTCAAAGTAGGCTCTTCCACATCGTGGGAAGTTTTCAAGTGTTTACTCCTTACGTGCGCCATTCAGAACGGACTATTTCCAGCTTGAATTGTCATTTCTCTGGTAGGATTTTGGAATTTTTGTGAGAAATACGATTTATTATGCTAAAATACACTCTTGTCTGGTATTATTTTCATATTTTCGTTGGAAAAAGGAATACTTGAAACACGTAATGTGCAAGCACATGTTCCTCCCCCCCAAATTATTTCTAGTAAGTCTAGTAACGCTAGAGTCTACGTGTTCCAAAATATTACTTACCTTTTTGAAAAAAAGAGGTGATCTTTTCCCTACAAAAGTACAAGTACGATGACTCAGTAAATCTGCCGTACGTTTGGTGTCAGTAAAGTTCTGCCCGTGCATATTTGACATGTTGCAAAGTGGCCGCTACTTTGGGCGGCTGTGTCCGGGCATCGTGGCTTTCCAAAAACTTGCACCCAGAAAAGATGTTTTCTCCAAAGGGCATGTACTTTCAATGCTGTTAACTATGCCCCGATTTTGAAAAATTATTATATGCACCGTCCAAAATGAGATCGTACCGGGTGGATGTTCGGGCCAACAAAAAAAGGGACACGAGAGTTAGTTTATTCAAGGCCGTTCAACACCGGAGCGGCCACCCCCGGTCTTGTCGGATCCTCTTGCGTACTGGCAGAACTAACGACAAAACATGAAAAGTTCCCGCTAGAATACCACAACAAGCTCCTACAAAAAGACTTAAATGTATTATTTGTAGTAGGAACTTCCTTTTTACGTCCAGACATGTGCCTTTCGTGACATTTTAACTCTGCAGTTACGTACTTTTTTGCCCGGAACTTTTTTTGATTCTGAAAAAAAAATAAACGTACCGTCTAAAATAAGAACGTACCGGGCGGATTTCAAGGCGAAAAAAAATAAACGTACCGGTACGTTTAATCGAGAGTAAAGAGTAAAGCAGTTTGAACTAATGCTTCTGGCCTCTTACTACACTAATATCTTCATAGTGCAAATTTTAGTTTCCTTATTATACATAGCAAATATGATAGCAAATCAGCAGTAAGGATATTGCTTATGTTTTTCAGCAAAACGTATAACACTGCACTGCAAGGTAAAATGCTGTCTTCATTTATCAATTGCAACAACTTCTGAATCACAAGGATTGAGTGACGTTAACAGTGTAAATAATGCAGTTCTCTTTAACACCCCTGTAGGGTTCCTCCCTCCTGTGTGGATGCAGCAGTGGCCAGTTGGACCTCATCACACTGACAGAACATAGGGAAGAGGTGACAACAGACGAGGAAGGTATGTCTGAGCTTATGTCATTGTGTCAACCTGACATAAAGTTAAAACCTGAGTGATATACTCGATTTACAGCAAGCATTGAGTAGTCTGATGTATATTAGCAATAAGAGCTAGGGATACATAATTTTTATTAAGTAATTAGGCACACATCCACATTCTGATGGTAAATCAGCACTAAGGACAGGAACAATGTTACATAGAAATTTCAAAGCTAATGCTACTGACTAAGAAACACAGCAAATTCAAAAGTTGCCATCTGAGTACCATCAAAGAAAAAGAGATGGAAGTTGATATGATGAGCGATGGCAAATCAGCACCAAGGACAGTAATAACAGTCTAAACCTTGCTACTGACTTAGCAACACATAGTCATGTAGCTGAGAACATAACATGACTACATCAAGATTTGAAAACACAGACAAATGGAAGTTGATGTAATAAGCGATGGCACTTCAGCACCAAGGACAGGACTTAGTGCAAGATCCATACAAAAGTATCATAACACTGCTGGCAAAGACTTTTTCTGTCAAAACTGTACTTTTTGTGGGTCAGCAGTTACGCTAGTCTGCCTGTGATGACCTAGTAATGACTTGTATCATTGCCAGTAAATACAAATAAAAACCATGTTTTTGTTCAGGTGACACTGAGAGCCAGGCTTCATCAGAAGGTTCAGAGAGTCGCAGGATGAAGGCAGAACACAGCAGTGCAGTTCTGTCTGTGGACGCCTGCCATAACATGGGACTCTTCTGTACATGCAGGTGGGCATGGATGATGTTTGCATTATAATTATACTCTCCAAGCAGATCTTTTGGTGGCTGCAAGATAGTATCACACTGCCTTAAAAAAAAAGAGTATGAAACTACCGGTAATTTGAAACCTCTGCTTAACAGGAGTGGAGAGGAAGATTAGGCCTATTTATAGACACTTTGAGCTTTACATATTGTATGGTATGTTGGCTTTTATCTGGGTCTCCTAGCCTAATCAAGACAATTTTCATTAAAAAAATAGCTGCTTGTTGCTTAATGTGTCTCTTAGGCTGGATGTGATGTTGTTTGTCATTTGTCTCATTGGTTCACAAGAAAAATATGTATCATAATGAAAAGCTTATGGCCAGAAAATACTATGTTGTGTGGTCAAGTTTTTGCTAGGGTTGGTTGGGAAACCAGGAATACATTTTCATATGCATGAGATATGTATTTTACCCTTCCAGTGGTGACGGTGCAGTGAAGATCTGGGACACACAGAAGGTGCTGGTGACTGAGATTCTGTTAGACGACTCCCTCAGCTGTGCCTGTTTCTGTATAATCTATGAATCCATTATCCAGTAGCAGAGTTTGAATTATCTATATGAATACTGAGAGATGTACTAACTAAAGTGTTGTCCCTTCCAGTGGTGACGGTGCAGTGAAGATCTGGGACACACAGAAGGTGCTGGTGACTGAGATCCTAAGTTGCATGTAATATCCATAATCTATCCAGTATTAGAGTTTGAATTGTCTATGAATACTGAGAGATGTACTAACTAAAGTCTTGTACCTTCCAGTGGGGACGGTGCAGTGAAGATCTGGGACACACAGAAGGTGCTGGTGACTGAGATTCTGCTGGACAACTCCCTCAGCTGTGCCTGTTTTCTCAACAACAGGGCAGACGTACTGGTGGCTTATAAACATCACATCTTCATCATACCCCATAAAAAAGGTACTAAATGTACTACTCATTATAGATACAGTTCCCTGTAACTACACATATGATTGTGTAAATGTGTAAATATTGTACATTTGGGAATGCATCTATAGCAGCAACACCTGAGTGTGCTGCAGTGCAATGTGAACCAGTCAGAATTGCCCTGAGGAAGAAACGTTGACTGAATAAAAGACTTGGTTGTGTAAAAAGTGTCTCTTTACTCAGTGACTTACCAACCTGATGAAACTATTCAGGGAGGTACTAACAAAATTTAGTCAACTTTGCAAAAGAAAAGCATTCATAACATTCAATAAAAAAGTCATTATAATAGTCAACATGTTAAATACAGTTTGTCTGTAATAAGTCTGTTTTTTAACGTTCTGTCTCTCAGTCTCTAATCTAGACTGCCATATTGAGTATTTTTGATTTCTTACAAATTTTCTCTCTTCCAGTCTGCCCTTCTTTAACAGTGCCAGAGATACGAGAAGAGGACTTGGAAACAGGTATGTTTATACACGTTACTATTGCCACTGCCACAAGAGGCTACAGGATTTTGAAAGGTCAAGTGGCTCTTGATTATTTACAGTGTTTCCTTGTGTTACAAATACATACATATAAATGTATGTAGGAGGATATATGTTGGGTTTAAAAAGCTCTGGCCTTTTCTACAATCAGATGCAAGAACAGTGTCCTACAAAATAATTTACCTCTAGGAATAATACATACAAACTGTATTTCCATTACATGACCAAGGAGTGTAGAAAGTGGCTCTCAAGAAGAGATACTCGGAAGAGGAGTGGTCCTTATTCACCACTCATAGAAATGTCTAGTATGCCAGGTCTATACATGTCCTATGCATTTCTTAATCTTATTTTGTCTCTGTTTTGTTTTTTTCCAGAGTCTTTAATCTACGAGGACCCGAGCATGTTATATGATGGGGATGATGATCTAGCAGAACCGACCAACCTTAACACCTACCTGGTAAATCTTGCTAGCAAACTGAGGGATCAGACACTTACACTTAACGATCGTTGTGCAATCACAAAGGACATTCTTGGGATTGTAATACATGTTTAAAATTGGTAGAAAATATTCAGCAGGTATGGGTTAGGACATTGCACAAAAATTGTACAGTGTCATGCATGCGTCAGTGTTTTTCTTTCTTATATTATCTGATGATTGACCTGCTATTTTTGTTTAATGTTCCAGGTACCGTTTGAGAACCTCCAGGGAAAGATGAACAGACCACTGACGGGGAGACACAGCCCTACAGAGGTACAGTGTGTTGTAGATTTCTAGATAGAAGAAATAGTATTGCAATTGTTAAACTGTCCAAATGATTGTAATTTTTGCATGAATAATAGTTTGGACTCTTCTCACAATCCCAAGCATTTATTCATGGGGAGAGAAACTATCATAAATTTGTTTTCAGGTGGTAATGGTTTGCTATCTATCCATGATGTAATTCTATCAAATAAGACCTACAATGAGTAGTAAAATCCCCCCATTCCCCAGGTGTCCAGTGTATCCAGTGACCTGTCCCTGGCCCCCACAGACACGTACATGATTGTCTCCATGTTCCACTATAATCTTCTCCCTCTGCCTAACCAAATAACAGCTACCTTAGCTTACTACGTTTAATGCTTTGTTTATAAACCATCTATCCCCAGGTATCGAGTGTATCCAGTGACCTGTCCCTGGCCCCCACAGACACCTACATGTCCCCATGTTCCACACCGCGGGCCTGGTCAGAGATAGATCTGGTTCTGTCAGCCGACGTCAGCACTCAGGACCTCAAGGACAAGGAGAGAGGTATGGTAATAGGCCTTTTTTAAATTAATTTTAGATCTTAAATTTTGAATTTGAAATCTCATATGTGTATAAGAAACATTAATCAGTTGCTACGTCTACAGTAAAAAAGTTGTGTGAAAGTTTGCTCACTGTTAGTTTCAATTCAACACTTTAAATTTATCTATTAGTAATAAACAATTTTTAAGTCGACAAGTATTGTTTACAGATCTTTGCTATGTTTGGGGAAGCTGACAAAGCATATAGGAGAATCAGGAAGCTGTGGATTGCATAAGAGACCCTCCAGTACTTCAAAGAAGTCTGAAATCTCTGATTTTCTTTATCCTAAATCTCCAGCCTTGAGTCAGACTGGTTTCCACCGGCCTAATGACAGCAGACCAAGCACGGGGACAAAAGAGTTTAACTTCCCTCGTTACGGCCAGTCACCTGGTCCCTCCCCGCCCGGTACTCCTGTTAAACATAAGGAACAAGAGATGACAGAGGCACAGAAGGAAAGGATACAAGAAGTGCTACAGAAGGTGATTTTATTGGTTTGAACTGTACTTAATATCCTGTAGTAGACTTTGAATTCAAATGAAATACTCACTCTCACTCTGTCACCATACAATTTAGCATGTGTTGTTTCCCAACTTACGAGGGTTAGACGTGCTTGCACACTGGTGCTGAGGCTTGATGGCAGCCTGCCATTTGCCTCTGTCCTGTAGGTTGATGCTATGCAAGTTAAAGTGGAGGAAGCCCTCCTTTATGTTGTTAATTCATCTCTTCCTTGAACACCCACATGGGTTTTGGCCTTTCACATCCAGAGGCCACTTCTCATTGTCTATTCTTTGGAGCTAATTAAAGATACACCAAAAAGCATTTACTCAATTAAAGATACTTGTGTATCAATTGCAGCTATTTTTATTGAGATCTTTTTATCTGATTACATTTTGGCATTTGACTTGAATTCTTGATATGAAGAAATGATTGTCTCCCTCTCCCAGTGGGTGTCCCAGACAGATGAACCAGAAGAAGAGTCAGTGTCATATGAAGACTTCATGATGCAGACAGAAGAAGAACCAAAACCGAAACCTGCCAAAAAACAAGCACAGAAGGGGAAAGCCAAGGCCAAGGCTAAGGAGCCTCCTGTCAAAAAGGTAGAAAACATAATTTGTTCATTTTACAGACTAAAGGCTTGCAATGCCTTACAAAGTTGTAGTAAACAAAAGAAGACAACACTTTATGCTGCAATGCTGTCATGTTATCACACTTTGCTTAACCTCCTCCAATCTAAAGTATCCTTTCAGCAACAAATTTGTGTTTGTTATAGACTAATATACAGTTAGGTAGCAGGGAGAAGGTTAAAAATATCTGTTGTGATGATTTTGCACCAAGTGATGGCAAATCAGTACCAAGGGATGCCCTTGGTGCTGATTTGCTATCACTTGTGTCTTTATCAATTTTCATGTAGTAAACAGCAATTTTTTTGCTGTGTTGCTTTGCCAGCAGCATGTTGGTGTAGGTTACTGCTATCCTTGGTGCTGATTTACCATCACTTACTATATCAACTTCTATCTTTTCAAATCTTCATGTAGCAAATGTCATATTTCTGTTGCATCACAATGTTACGTACTTAGTCAGCAGCATTGGATCAGGCCTGTCCTTGGTGCTGATTTGCCATCAATCAGAATGTGGCTAATGTATTCCTAGCTCTGATTGGTTATTCATCCTCATTCATACAATCATGAATTTGTTTTTTTGCAGTTTGATGACTTTGATGAAGGTGAATCAAAGTTCAAACAAGCCAGTAAAATTGACATCAAGTCCATCATGAAGACAGAAAAGGTTTGTGCTTACTTTTGTTACAGTGTTCAAAGTCTGTAGGAAAATATTTGAACAAAAAGTAATGGGCAATTTCCTCAATTCAGACATTGTCACAGAGGGTAGGGAGACCATGCAAAACCTAAGTACTGTACATCAATAAATAAATGTGAAGATACATGCTGCAGAAGACCTACCTAAGGATAAGGAGGGCAAGAGAGATGCAGGAAGCAAGTAATGAGCATCTCAAGCCATTATAACATGGTGATTATGATGTTTCTTTGTTTGGTTTGCTTGTTTAGAAGCCGAAGTCAGCGCCCGGTGGAAGGTCATCTCTGGACACAGCGGAGAAACTGGGTCAGCAAGTTGAGCAAGAGACGCGCCCAAGGTCAACTGCAACTTCCCGCAAGGTCAGTCTACTTACCTACCTAGTTCCTTGACCTCCTGGTTGTTGGGGGGACAAGATAGAAGACTAGTGAGGACGGACCACTGTCTCCAGACATCTCTGTCTCTTGCAGCGGTCTGTCAGATATTTCATCAACATGAGGAATGTGGAGAAGGGTACAGGGTTTGGAGCAAAGGAGTTGAAATAACAACAAATTACACTGAGGGAATGATTTACAAACTTAAGGTGATAGCAAGGTGGTCTTGCGTATTGAATCTGAAGGTTCTGGGTTCGAATCCCAAGCAGGCCCCAATGTTGTGTCCTTGGGAAGGGCGCTTCACACGTATTCCTTCACTTGACTCACTCACACGACAGGTGAAAATGAGAACCTAGCTTCAGTTACGTAGGAACGTCCTTTTGTATGGGATGTAAAGAGTTTTTTTTTTAAAGTCTTTATTGTTTTGACTTGTTTTGAACAAGTGGATCATGGTAGACAAACATCACCTGGTAAGAGGTAACTAAAACAGTCTTCCTTCTTGCAGAAGATAACCAAGAAAGAGAGGAAGGTACAAGAACGCAGGGTTTCCAGGAGAAAGTCTGCTGCACAGGCAGAGGACAGCAGACCTGCATCTGCTCATACTGAACAGGAGGAGGAGGAGGAGGCAGGGGAGGGACAAGAGGAGGAGAGAGATGATGCAGAAGATGAAGAATCTGCTCAGGTTGGTTCTACTGTTACTAACAGTTTTCTCTGTCAGGATGTTGTCACTGTAATGTCCATTCTGTATCCACCATGGCTCATTTAATTTGTCATCACTTAATATTATCATATGACAGAACTTTATTGACACCACAAAAGTACAGCGACATATACAAATACATTGGGTACAATGAAATTAACCTACGTACAAGATAATAGATGAGTTAACTTATACTTCTTGTTCTGAGGTCTAAACATTCTTTGATATATTTACCTATTTGTACACAGTAAGGGTTATTACCTTCTAGGATGAAATTAAATTTATCTATAACATGAAATGTAAAGTTAACAAATTCTGTTAAGCAAGGGGAAAGAAGGTTGAACAGCTTTGTGTGTTATCAACTTCCATGTCTCTAATATTTTGAAAATTTCATGTACTAGGCATGTTAGAGTTTCAGTATTTACTGATGTCACTTAGTCAGTAGCAAGTTGGATCAGGTTGTTTTTCCTGTCCTTGGTGCTGATTTTCCATTCTGTCTCCACCATAACCCTTTAAGAAAACCTACTGAATATGGGTGCAATGTCTCATTGATTATATCTATTGAAATGCTAGAAAACATTCCTTCTACTGCCCTAGTTATCTTTGTCTGGATAGTGGGGATGGTTGTACCCAATTCTAATGCAACGTTGACCAAAATCAAAGAAAACCGTGAAAAATTGGGGTTCTGCGCAGACGCAGTACATTCTGCCAACGTGCTAGCCAGAGCTCAAAATGGTAACAGGAAGAAGACGTTCTGACTGGAAGAGCTGGTTCAACCTGTTTGACTTGTTTCTGAATCAACTTTGCATAACATTGTCTGTGCTATCTCTATAGTTGCACACATGTGCTAACAGTAAAAAAAGGTAAAGCCATGGACTTTTTGAGGCCATATGGGCAGTGGGTTGTTGGTCCTCTGTGTCTAGCATCATATAGAAAGGTAAAACCCATCCCTCTTCTTCCACTGCCTTTTGTCTTCTCAACCAAAGTCAGGTTCCTAATACCTAATACCAGCCCAGAAGAGAACAAGAAATAGCCATGCCTTCAGGTACCAGAGTTATCAACCAAGGATTGAGGCGTTCAAGAATTCATTCTTTCCTAGAACTATCGCAAAGTAGAGCTCACTATCACCAAGTACAGTAGGGGCAATGTCATTAGATAGCTTTAAACAATGTTTAGAGTTAGATGTTGAAGGGTAAGGTGTAACAAGTCGATCGGTGTAATATAGCCAGCTGCCGCCGCGCCGCGAGCCTGCGAAGCTGGTGACGGTGTTATGCCAAAAGCGGTTATACCTGCTATACAGATACAGATACAGGTTCCCATTTTACACAAGGCCATCCAACATTAAAATAACCTTCTCCACTTTGTCACATAAAGGTTCCATCTGAAGCTGATTCAGAGGCTGACGTTTGGACACACTGGAGCCTGTGACATACCTGGATCATCTGTTTTCCCTCTCTATCTTGTGGTACAGACAATGAATGATGTACAAATGTACTAATTATGTCTTAAGGCAAACTCTAACCTATATTTTTCTCTACTTCATGACATACAGGTGCCATCTGAAGCTGAATCCGAGGTCGGCGTTTCGGACACACCTGATCCGCAGGTGCCACCTGGAACACCTGCTGCACCTGCCACACCTGTGCGGTCCTCCTCTCCCAACTGCAGCGATGCCACACAGACACCTGCCGCAGCTGCACCTTCAGAGGCATCCTTATCGGATGGTATGTAATATATTCTGTAACTCCCTGGCACTTTTGATTAATATTGCTGACGTCACGTATTAGTAAAGTCTTGCGAGAATAATGTCACGTGCCTGTAACTGTAATTACATTTTGAGTGATTGGTCATTAATTATCCTGAACAGTAGTCGTTGCAAATTTGATGTGTGTAAGTTTGTGTTGGAATAAAGTTCAAAATTTTACAAAGATTACTATGAATACAGATGAACATTCATGATCTTTCTGTTATTTGGTTTCTGTAATTTTGAAATTGTACTGTCTAGTATATGGTAAATGATGTCACATGTAACTGAATGTTTTCTCTTATTAAAGTTTTTAATTCTTTGAGAAATTTGATATCGCATTGGAAATTAGCAAAAATTCAGATTTTTGCGAATAAAGTTTCCTATGTCGTGATGTCCCCCCCGCAGGTGAGTTGGTACAGTCGAAGCCGCCCAGTGCTGCCAGCACCAGGAAGTCTGTTCACAGTGAGGAGGCAGGAGGGACCACTGTCGGGGAGGGGGAGGATCTCCTGGGCCTGCTGGAACAGGAAAAGTTTTCTGCCAACATGGTAAGTTCTGCTGTTAATGCATTTTTTTAGTAAAATCTCACCATCATTGGGTAATTAAGATACTGCACATTAATATTGGAAAACTGACCTTAATAGTATAAAGTGGGCCTATATTATGAAGACAATGTACTATCTGTTGGAACAGTTGTCAGATTTTTTTTCTATTTTACAATTTGTAATGCAATGACTATATATGGTGATGTTGAAGTTGTCCTCAGTTGACCTTTTTGTCCTTAGTTAACCCCATTATTCTGGAACAATTTATGACTGTCACTGTGCATGCAGATCTAGAATTTATTATCCATTGAACACTAAATATATATAGCTGTCCCATTATAGAGATGACATTAACTATCTGAATAGTGTGAATGCTAAATTTAATGATCCTTATTTACATGTATCAAAGCACCTGTTATAAAATACTTCAAGCAATAGATCTATAATGTATACCTCAAAAATATTTTCTTTGAGACAGAGCAAACTGTGGATAGTTGACAAAAATTCTATGGTATGGCATTTCTTGTGAAAATCGATTTGATTTGATTTTTAATTATTGAAATTTACAATGCAATACATGTGGGACACAGGCAGCTGTTGCTGGTGTTGTGTCCCACACATAGAGTATTACAAACACATACATCACTCACTCACACTCACTGTCCGGTATGGGGTTATATAGAAAATTATATGTAGCAGAAAACCCTGTCAGCATTTTAAAGCTTTATTCTATTCTATACAAATGATGTAATTCAATTGGGTAACTGTATTTCACCATAATCATACACCAGTGAACTTCCAATACACTCCTAAAAAGCCTAAATACTTCTCAGAGATCTTGAGGTCTGAAATCTCTGATGTGTTGTTTCCCCTTTAGAGTGAAGCAGACCTGAGTAGAAGACCGAGTGCTGCTGCCTCCATGGTCTCACTCAAGAGCGAGGGGGAAAGTGCAGCTACGGAAGGTTGGTCTGTTTATTTGTTTGTTTGAACTTTAAAATTGTTTAATTCCATGAAACACTTAAACTGTCCTGCTGGCTGCTTTTCTATGAACTCTTGCAGGAAGAATTCAGGCCCAGACAAAATTGCTTTCTTTTATTTTGTAAAAAAAAAAAAGGAATAACATGTTTTATTTCAACAGACATGTTTTAGAAGTCTCACTTGTGAACAATTAGAAGAAACATTCAGTATAACAATGCCACATATTTTTCAAAGAACATGTTATTTGCATTAAATCATTGGATTATATTAAGCCTATATTCTGGTTCTTCAAAAGGTGAGTATGGTTATTGGTATTATTACTAAGACTGATGCTCTCATTTGCATAATGTATGCAATTCACATGCAGTAATTAACATCACTTTTCAATGACTATCGTGTCATGATGACAGGTCATTAAGTATACTTAAGTGCCTCTTCTCTTAAGTGTAAACTCTGTTTTCAGTCAAACACAGACGCCTTAAGATTATCAATAGTGATTATCTCTCAACAATACAGCCTGCAATTATTTCAAGATTTAGGTCAGAAATGTCCTCAGGAAAGTTGAGAGAAACTTTGCTTTACATGTAGGTGCCATTCAGAACGCTCTATATCTATTTTGATCCAGCAAAACGAGATTTACATTTTGTTTTGCTTTATGCAACCAGTCAACAATCCTAAAGTTAAACGAAGTATGCAAAGCAACCTACATGTAGGTGAAGAATTTACAACAAACACCCACAGCGCTATTTTATGCATCGTTCAGAAATGTCTACGTAAGGCCCACTTTAATACATCCAGTTAATAAGATTTTGTTTTGCTTTATTCAACTACTGACCAATGATTAGCCACCAGGCAAAGTTAAGCAGCAAAATTTACCCCCCAAAAAGCCTGGGCACTCATTTTATGCATTTTGAGAAAGCTCTATAGCCCACTTTAATCCAGCAAAACAAGATTTACATTTTGTTTTCATTTATTCAAACCACTGACCAATGATTAACCACCAGGCAAAGTAACCCTAGCAGCAAAATTTACCCCCAAACACCCAGGGTGAACATAATTGGCCAAACTCGATTTCCCCTGCACTTTCAAATCGGCAAAACATCGCGGCCAGGTCTTAATAAGATCGGAAAGCCTTTGCCCTCGAGGCTCAGAACTGAAAAGGTTGGACTCCATCCCGGGTCAGATGTTTTGTGTACCCAGCTTGGCGTAAAGTCAACACAAGTCGGTCGCTCGTGACGTCACCTTGGCGAAGAAATTATCTGGTGTAGCTCGTTAGTTGAGAGTGTTCTACTCGTGGATAATGTTCGTTAATTAGTACTTGGAGTGCGCAGACTGGCTGCCACACACCTACAGGTTTGTTGCTTTTCTTAAAACGTTTCTTCCATGTCTTTGTGAACGTAACAACCTGTCTTGAAACGTGATACGCCTTTGCGAGGTGTGGCGGTATTCACGGCGTTGTGTTCAGCCTTTTCACTTTCATTGAATTTGAATGGGGGAAGTTTTGTATATACCTACCTGTGGTAGACTGTCGTCAAGAGGCCGGGGGACTTTGAAACCAAAGATGGCGTGTGCTGAGTGCTGTGCACTTGCTGAGTGTGAGTAGTTAAACATCAAGACTTAGTATATGGTTATGTCTACTAGTAGGTTGTGCCAAGAGTACCTGTTGGTAGGGCTAAAATTGCTGTTCAGTACTAATTCTACATGTAGCTTAGCCATGAGCATTTGACACTTTCTAAATGAGGATAATTTTTGCTTCATGGCATAAAGTCAACAGTATGTTGGATCAGATTAAAGAAGGCATATTAATGCTTGTGTCTAGGTTGTGTTGATTGTGTAAAGTGTGTTAGGTAAGGCTACATGTAAAATTGCTGTTACATGTATGTAGTACTAAATGTAGGTTAGCCTCAGAAGTATTTGACATCTTGTCATATTAAGGATTGTTGTTTCATGGCGTGGCTTTGACTAGACACCAGACAGCAGATTTTAAAGTTGGATCAGATTGATTTATATGTGGACCATTTAGGTATATACCAGACCATTTATAATTGTCTAAGGCATGTACGTTAAATCATTATGTTCTCATTATTTTGATAGCAAAGAGTTGCAGTACAGTACACCTGTTACAGAAGTTTTGTTGTGTCTTATTTCGTAGTGTGCACATTGTTTTTAACTATTAACTTATGCATGTCCTTTCCAATGGGCCTTACATGTTCCTTTCAATGTGATACATGAGTTACAGTGTAAAATGGTATTCAAGCAGAAACTAATCTGTAATGACAGTAAGTAATACATCATAGCCGAGTGAAATGTGTGTTGCTAGGTTCCACGTACGTAGCCCCAGTGGACTACAACAGCACTAGTTCTCAGGACAAACAGTTTGGAGTTGAAACCAGTGCGAGTGTTTGCCAGGTGTGAATGGTTGGCTTTGTTTTGAGTCTCCTGGCCTGAGTACAGCCTGTCCACTTCCATGGTGATTTGTATGGTTGTTGTTTACTCTGCTCTTCTGTCTTTACTCAGGAGTCAATGGGCTGTAGTGCAGTAATGTGTGTTTACGAGCACGTTTGTTCATATATTGAGTGTTTATTGAAGTGAACTTGTAGTCATCTGTGTAATCGTCTTGGATAATTGCAGTGTAATATGCTTTAAATTATGCCAGCCCTGTAAATTTAAAATACAGGCTAAGTCTGGATCACAGCATTCCTTGGTTGTTTGGGTCTAGTCTAGCAATACTTCATGTATTTATGAGTGCATTTGGCCCTATGCTTCATAATTGTAGTGAATTTGTGATCATCTTGGATAATTACAGACTTTAAAACGCCTTCAAGAGTGATTTAAGACTTCTGGCTTACATGTACTTTAGTCCATAGTGGATAATGTGCACAGCATTCCTTGGTTGTTTGGGCCAATACTAGAGATTACTCCCAAATGTATTTATGAGCACATTTTGTACAGTGATTATTGTTAGTAGTGAATTTTTTACTCCGACGTGTAATCATCTTTGATGATTGCAGTGTAATTTGATTAATATTTAAAATGCCTTAAGAGTAAATTTTAAAGCAGGTTTGCTGTTACAGTGGTGGATAAACATTTTGCAAAGCATTCCTTGGTTGTTTGAGTCAATATTAGCAATAATACTACCAAGTTAGTGAATTTGTGTGTCATGGTCCATGTAATCATCATGTTTATGGGATAATTGCAGAGTAATGTGCTTCAAAACTTAAACCAAAATTTGTAATCGCTTGCACTTTAGTCAGGAATGGATAAATATTTTGCACAGCATTCCTTGGTTGTTTGGGTCAAAATACAAGCAACAAACGATGTAGAAGATTGTGAGATAAATGTTGGACATAAGCCTTTATAACCTAAATTTATTAATTTAGTATAAGATATCCTTATATATCAATCCATACTTAGAAGAAAGTTTTTTTATGGGTTCACCACACCACGAAGTGGTGTGGTGAAACCATATTGCTTTTTCTGATGTTTCTTCTTCTCCTTCTCCTCCTCCTCCTCCTGCCATATCTTTAAATGGATTCAGCTTCTTCATTTTAGGGCCTAAGGTCCTGAAATTTGGTATGGAGGTACAGTGGGCAAATACCCCTAGGCGTTTTTTAAATTATTGTGATACAGGCTTTTAGAATGGTTTTATTTGAGTTTTTTGGCTGTGTAATAGCTAATGTATTACTGTGTAAGTGTGCAGTGTTTACCACATTTGGACATGAGTCATCACAATGGCATGCAAGGCATCAACCAATAGGCATGCAGCTTTCCTCTATTCTCCTTGCTGATTGGCTGTTGGGATTTAACTGGCTTAACTTCATTTACACCTGCACAGAGCCATGCCATACTGACAGTATGTCTGTATTCAAGTGTTTTGGTAGGTATTTTAAGCTTTCCTGCTCCAGCATTGGAATGCGGGCTATGAACGCTTCTTTTTATCTTGAAAATCAACAGTTTGCATTATGCAATCCTAACCAATAATGTAGGGAATAGCTATCCAACTGTTGTAGTCTTAGTTGTATGTTACTTCATACTATAGTTATATCAATGTAAAGCATTGTTTTCCCTTGTGTTTCTCATTCTTTCCCTGCCATGTGGTAAAATGTGGTGAACCCATCGCTATATTTGCTCCAAAGCAAATATTGGCCTTTCTAGTTTAGATTTTAAATTCTTGTTACAATTGTAATTGGAACTCAGAGTTTGTAGAAATAATTACAACAGAATTCTAGCTCGTCTTAGGAGACCTAAGTTTACAAAGAAAGTCTAGTAAAAAGGTGACAGGTAAAAAGCTTTGGATTTCTTCCGTGTGTGAGTGTTCTTGCATAACTGTGAGAACTAAGCACTTTAGAAGCACCACCATCACAATGTAACTGTACCCCTGATTTATAGAACATTGCGTTGCCTTTGAGCGACTGTTTGCAAAAGTCCAGCCTGTGAGAATAGAAGGTTTTGTTGGTTAAGCACGGTGCCTGACTGGTTTTGCTCCAGCAAACACATTCAGACTTCTCCAGTTACCAGAAGGTGTGCTGAAGCATGAAAGTACTGGGTTACCCCCTAGAGGCTAAATCAACTTCAGGGATTCTTCAACAAATATAAGTTTTTCCTAGAACTATCATAAGGGTGGAACTCACTGCCACTAAGTGCAGTAGAGGCATTGTCGCTAGATAGCCGGTTAGATATGCAAACTTTAAGGTTAGGTATAACAGGTGGTTGTTTTGTCTATCCATGGCCAGGTGTGTAATTGTTTTTCTTTCACCTGTAACAAACTAGTTTGTCAGAGATTCTGTACATTCTGTAAGGGTTATTTAGTACAATCCAACCGGTGTCTTAAGACTAAATATAAAGTACCTAATGACAATCAGACAGTTAAACTTGTCAGATATCTTATTTATTGTGTAATGAAAGTTTTTTGTGCACATTCCATAAAAATTATAGAATTAAAAGCTTAACACAGAAGAAGCCCTACTGTTTAATCTACCTGTTCTACCAGTTGTCTTTAGAAATACAGATGGAGGAGTTTTTCATCCCTGTGTCCCATACTTTTGTACTACGTTTTTCAATAACGAAAAATCATCATGTTTTCTTCCCCAGACATGTACCAGGCTCCAGCCTCAAGGATTGTGATCAGTAGTAAGCAGGGTACAGTGGAGTCTGTGCGGCCGCAGTCATCGACTGAAGACATTGCAGCAGCAGCAACACCGCAGCCAGAGTCAGACCAGGATGAGGGGAGCACAGCACGGCCGAATACTGCAGCTTCTGGTATAGTTTTTCTGTTTTTCATATTTACATTAATCTTATCTTTCACACTTTCTTCATTCATACTCTCTTGACACTACTGTGGTTGTCAGTCACAGTGCAAAAGCACCCTTTAGAAAAGTTTTGAAACGCCTCCCATTTTTTCAAAAAGTTTTGACACTTGACAGTATAATTGACAGTGTCAAAATTTCTCATTCAAAGTTGGACATTCAAAGCACCCATTCATCTCACTGGTGTCACATAATGGTCTAAGGTTTCAAAAGAGGCTGATTTACTAATAATATAATATAGGGTCAATGACCCGCCCTGAGGTGTATACGATGTCATAATTCATGGTCGGTTCCTATAACCACCGAATGAACGACCGAGGCCGCGGAGCGGACGAGGTTGTTTATGAGGTGGTTATAGGAACCGACCATGAATTATGACACCGTATACACCGAAGGAAAGCGGGTCATTAACATTATTATCATATAGACATTGTCACATATGCATGTACATCAAGGGTCATCAAGCTGAAACAACTTCTGTGTAACATATAGATCTTTTAATCTTGCATTGAAGTGAATTCTCATCGCAACAAACCAATTATTTAAAGCTGAAAGTTACAGATATGAACTAAATTTACCGCTGAAGTTTACCGCTGAATTTCGAATTCCTCAACTGTTTCTCCACCACTATTGTCCAAATCCATCTCTGCGCTTGCCCCAAACACTGCTTTTACTTCATCTGACGACAACTCAGCAGTTCTATCAAAACTAAATTAATTTACTACTCTACATAAACAAGTCTATCAGAAAGGTCTTTAGAATTAGAAGTAGGGTGCATGGGTAGGTTAGAAGAAAACACCACCCTGTCATGTAATGGTAGCGTTGGTTACGGACCCGCAGGTCCGTATATCGGATATTATTGACCTGGGTTATGGGGGAAATGGAGCCTTCTGATTGGTCGACGTCATCTGGCTATATGTTAATACAATTTATTTGACTATATATCCTTTTCACTTAATTGTAGGCATACATAATGTAACTTGGACTGGGTCTAACAGTCTTATTCTTCACCAGGTATTCATGTCAGTTTCAAGTCAGCATCACCAGATCCATCAGAAGGAAGGTTAGTAAAGTAACTAAAAAATCTTCATATTACTTAAAATAAACAATCTTCATGCAAGCATGGAGGTCATTGATGATGGTACTAAACTGTTGGTGAATTTTTCTTCAGGACAACTGTTGCATATTTAAAATTGTTTAGTATCGTGGTTGTCATGATGTAGAACAAGAAAAAAGTATGATTTTGGTTGAAATTACATTATTTTACAACATTTCTTTTTTAATAATTATCTCTCTACAGAGTACTAATAGATTACAGAGAGCTCCCCAAGAATGATGGCCTGAAATTTGATGACCACTGGCAGGACAGAGCAATAGAAAGGTTGGTACTTGGTATCTTCTTAAGACTATTCAGAACTGTTCATACATGTAACTTCCAGGTATCGTTTTGGTTGCAGCTGAGCTGTGGTTTGTCACTCTGTCTGTCCAAAGGCAGAGTGACAGAAGGTCAAAGTTGTCTAAATCTGGCTTGAGCCATCAGGCATGGGAAAATTCAGGAAGCCGAGAGTTCCATACTTCACATTCTGAAAGTCTCTAATAAAAATGAAGTATTTACAAGTCTGAAATCTCTGATTTATTGTTTTAATTTAAATGGTATGTCTATATCATATTCAACTCAAGACCCGTTTAAAGATTTTACTTTCTTCTTCTTCTTTGCATATTGTCTTGCAGACTCTCCTATTTCTTGCTAATTTCCTAATTTATACTTTAAGGCCTTGGGGATAACATTATCATAATTATGTTTCAAAACTTAACTTCTCACCTTCCCCATGCAGGTACCAGCTACTGAAGCTGCAGAAGCAGCAGCGTATGGAGGCAGCGAAGGAGAGACGAGCGGTCCTGGAGCTGAGGCAGTGGCACAAGAGACGGTCTTTACTAGGGCATCACGACTGTCACGGGGAGGGCTTCGACGGGGGTTAGTATGGCTGTTTGTTTGTTTTTTTGTTTGTTTGTTTGTTTGTTTGTTTGTCCTGGAGCTGAGGCAGTGGCACAAGAGACGGTCTTTACTCGGGCATCATGACTGTCATGGGGAGGGCTTTGATGGCGGTTAGTACCACAACAGTATTTATCTGTTTCCTCCCTTTGAGCCTTATGTCTAACTGCCACAGTGTTGGTTGGATGGTAGTCAGTTAACTGAAAGGTAAAAGGCAGTTTTTAAGACCCTAGGGGCAGTAGGTCTAAAGGCAATGGTATTGGAAGGCGGAGCCGATTCCCTTTCCTTCATATTACACCTGGGTGGAGTGAGGAAAGTTGTGTTAAGTGCCTTTCCCAAGGACACAAAGCCAGGGATCAAACCAGGGACCTCTCAATCTGGTGTCTGTTAGTAGACACTCTGCCATTCAATGCCACAATGAATTGGAATGTGAATATATCAGATGTTAGAATAAATATCTTGACTGATTTTCCTCCCTGCAGGTTACGCCAGTAAATCAGACAGCTCGCTGCACATCCTGCCACGGCCTCAGACCACAGCCACCTCTGTGGACCCAGCGTGTTTCTCCCGTCTGTCCGGCGATGTCAGAGCGGACACCTCACAAGTCTCCCCCCCTCCCCCGCAGCCCAGGAAGCCTGTACACAAGGAGGGGCTAGGGCTGGAGAGGCCATTCAGGTAATGTGTAATGTTTGGCTTTTAGGCAGTAAGCTTCCAAGAAACAGATGGCAGCCATTATGTACACTTTTGAGGTGTTGTCTGTCTCTTTTTGGCTCTCTTCGCTGCTGTATCCGACCCTCTTGTTATGCCCTCATCTATGCACCTGTTCAAACCTGTTGCAGAATGACTTTTACAAACACAGATGGACTTTCAAGCCAACATTTGACAAAATGTACTGGTGAAACATTTTCGTAAATCTACAACACCTTGACACCTAACGGTTTTCATCCGACTATGAATTAGCTTTTGGACTGTGTTTAACTCTTTGAGATGTACAATTTTTTTTCCTTTAACTTTGAACTCTTTCTTGTGTCCCTAGAATCTCTATGCGTCCCCAGTCAGGCAAGTCGTACGTGCGGAGAGAAGATGTGTTTGAGACGGAGAACAGAAGCTCCAGCGAACCCCTGCTCATCCGCAGACCACGGTCAAGCAAGTCCATCCCCAGCAAATGCAAGTAAGGACAGACTGGAACTTTTTTCTTTAAGAACGTTCAAGAAAGATTATTTTGTACATTCTGTATAGATTCTCTCATCTCATTTATTGTCTGCTAATTTGACCAATGGGAGGCCACAGAAGATCTGACAAGTTTTCTGCACCCTTTTCGGTTCTCAGTTTCTGCTACAATTTGGCTTACTGTCATCCAGGCTTTCCCTTCTCTGATATATTTATCCTTCAATCCATCTTTTCCATTGCTAATACCCCTCTTTTTTCCTCCATGATTAATTTGGCTAGTCCAAATACTACTTTAGTCTTCATTTCTTTCAATACTACTTTAATCTTCATTCCTTCACCATTTGAGATGTAGCCTCTTTATGTGAATATGGTTGTGACCAGCTATGTGCTACAAAAAAATCATTTGCCCATTTCTCATGATCTAAATCCACCTATTTGCTGCTATTTTCCCCCAGTCGTTTTGTCCTGTTGTCTACGGGGAACACGCCAGACGTGCCCAAACCTGAGCCGACACCGCTGGAGGCCAGACTGCTGGCACAGAGGTTCCCTCATGCACAACAGAGAACACTGGTGAGCCAGCCAAGAACGCCCCCTATCCCTCGCAGGAAAACTACACCTGCTTCTACATATGGCAGTCGCAGGAACTCTGTACCCAGCTATGCCACGTTGCACAGCTAGCCTTTATTGTAGTAGGTAAAGATAACATAAATTTTCGTGCAAAAACATTCAATGTGTGTGCCAAATTCGGTGCATTGTGACTACATTTGTTAAGCAAACTGGCTGATTTTCCAGCTATGTCGCTGGACCATTAATTTTATTTTTGAAGCGTATATTTTTATTTGCTGTAAATTTGACATATATATGTATGGATGAAAGTTTTACCAAAATATGTCATAATCTTGCTGTGAATACAAGCAATCTATCTTTCTTTTAAATGTCTTCCTCTGTAAAGTAAGATAGTTATATACATGTATGCAGTAGAAAAGACCAAATGTGAGTTATCTGCAGTATGAATGAATTCACAGATGTTGTACTGTGAGATCCCTAAATATCTCTCTATTACCACTGAGGAGAAGTTCTTATATTGTTGTTCAAAGTTGTTGACAAGCAGATCCAGAGGTGTGTTGGCAGTGTATATTAAATGTACTGATAGCAAAGATGCCAAACCCATTCATTGTTGCAAGAAGATGTAATTCACAGTTGTATTTTTATGTTGTACATACTGTTGAGATTATAGCAGAAATGCTTCTATGTTCCTCACCTCTCAGTGGGAAAGACAAATATATTGTTTTTTTTTATTGTTACTTGTCTCTTCTGGTTTCTTTTTTTGTTGTTATGACTATATGCAGTCACAACAGTTTTACTTTGATAAAAATAAGACAACAAAATACTAAGTTTCTGCTGGCAGTTTAGTGACATTTTCGCTTGCTGTAAGCCATGGATATTTCACTCAAGATCAGGTAAGATCATATTCACAGTCAATTGCAACACCTGTGCGTTTTGGTAACTTATTGATTTAGGCATGTGATTTGTACATAATAATTTTCATAGTTTCACAACTATATAAGGACATTTCATGATTTGTACATTGCATATAATTGTAAAAGACATGATTCCTCGTTTTCTTATGAATTTATAACGGCAACAATAAGCTTTTATTACATTTTGCAACATTTTCTTATAACTCGTCATCCCAACCTTTTTTCTATCCACGTCTGTCTTTGCTCTCTTTTTGCCTTCATTTCTATTCACACAACTGTTGTTGCAATATTTACATAAATGTCATGATACCTCTACTACTTCAGTAGAAATATGTGCATATCATTGCCACGACCACCAATTTGAACACTTTTATCTCCAATCTTTCTTGACATTCTTATCCAGTTGCTGTATCATCAACCATGAATTTTCTCCTTATTGTTGCGTTTCTAACATTGCAGCTGCCAGGCCTAGGTTCTTTGACAACGCCGCTACCATCGTTGCTTTCCACTCCCCTCTGTCCAGTGCCAGCCTTCATGCTCTCTACCACGTGAAACCTGTCTTCTCTAGGTTTGTCATGATTGTCTTTCGGACTCTTTCCAATTGCCATCTGTTGACCTCGCCCCCTTCTTCTCCCTTGATTGCGGTATCGAGTTAAATGCCACCCGAGGGAGCCTATGGTTGAAGAACCACCTGTTAAGGTAGCGCGCTGTGGGTTTTTTTTTTCTCCGGTAGCAAATGTGCCAAAGAAAATGACTGTATTTAGCGTCTAGGGTGTCTGTTTCTTCCCATTTTACGATTCAACTTTTCCCCAAATTCTCGTTTTCACGTGTTTTTATCATTCTGTCACATACTAGTAGTTTGACATTTCTTGTTGCTCCAAATTCACGCAAAAGTCACTGTATAAGTGGTAGTGTTACCAAGCCTATCCTTTGTTGAGGAATCATCCGTTATGGCGCCGTAAGTTTTTTCCTCAGGTAGAATGACTAGCAGCTTCCCACACAATGAAGTCATGGGAGTCGACGACCGATGTAATAGGTCCCCTGTCCAAGGGACACTTCCGTGAGGTGACGGTCTGCCGTCCCGTGGTCAGTATGAGTCCGCAGTCCCGACACAGGCATCGGTGCCCGCACGGGACCAGCGTTACCGCTACAGGGTCATCATGGCACACCACGCAGTTTCCTGAAAATGAAAAAAAATTAGAATGAAATAAAGTTATATACATCAGTGTCCATCACCCTTCGCTTAACCGCGACGGGGGTCGACATCGTCTACCAGATACCTTTGACCCAGTGTTGACGTCACACTTCAAAGAAGCCACGTGACAAGCCTCACTGGGTCAGTCTACTGAGGAAGACCAGAGTGACTGGTCGAATGCTCTAGGTTTTTGTGTTGGATCTACAAGTTTTAACTCTAAACATAAAATAAAGTTTGTTTTCGTCATTGTGAACTGTTTTGTTAAAGCACCTACATGTACTAGTTTACAATATCTTTGTTTCCGTTAATTTCTTTTTAATCATTATTTAAGTATCATTAATTATATATTAAGTCTAAAGGAGGCGGGCTCAATATACTTAACCTACTAGGCTTCCCACCCCCTTCTGCACACTGTTGGTCTTTCCATTTTATTCTTTATTGTGTAATGTGTATAATTCATTGTCCGAATAAAATAAAACAAAACCAACCTTCTGCGGTAGAGACTTCCCTATCCACTGTACAGTGAAGATTGAATGGATCTCTCGTTGGCATTCTCTGTATGAACTTCTTCCCTCGACGGAACAACTTCTGGCACAGATTCCACGCGATTCTTTGAGTGTCCACGCGGCAAACGAAGTTAGTTAGCACAGGAGGTATTAGTAGCATTGACGTACAGAATTGAGTCGGTGTGATAACTGCGATAATTCTTCTCATGGGTGCCCATACAGTTTCTATAACATAGGCTACGATTGAGAACAGTTCTGGTAGGTACCCCTGTAAGGTAGTTTCCAGAGGTATCAGGTAGTTCAAACTCTTCCAGAACGTGCATATCGACCAGAAGTACCACGTGAAGAATTTGGAGAGAAACACCAAAGGTGCTACAATCTCGTACAGCGGCACTGGGTCCAGGTAGAGGCAACTCCAACCGCCTCGCCTGCGAAAGAACGGCGGAATTATGAACAGTTCCAGCGCTAGCGGTAAGATCAGCAAGTCTACAGCGCCGGTAAAAGCTGCAATGGGTCGCCACAAACTGTTACCGATAAGTTGGCAGATAGAAAGAACGCTCACGGCCCAACTTGTGGCAAAGCAGAGGACTGTCAACAAGAGTGTCACCGACCAACTCTTGGGGACAATGAGCGGGAGGTTCAACTGTGATGCCGACAGACTCGCGACAATGGTGAGCTCGAAGAACCACTGACTACGACCGTTTGCCGACACCGCGTAGGATCCCAAGTAAGGCCGACCCACCAGGAGAACTAGATGGCCCACGACCACGTTCACAACTGTCAACAAGCCGAGAGTCATGCCTGTTTTCTCCATGAACTCCCAAAAGGTGGATTCTGACTCCATGGTTGTCGGAGCGTCGACTGCGATGTCCTACGGTTGTTGTTGCATAGTTTTGGTAAATGATTGCACCGCTTTTTTTTCTTTAAGTAAGTTATCTTGAGGTTATTGTCTTAGTATTCGTCAAAGACATGCGTGGACGAACATCGCATTTTTGTACAGTCCCCTCTAGCTCTCTTCAACGTGTTCTGATGACGATGTATTCGTTTGTCGCCTTGTTTGCTTGTTTGTTTGTTTGTTTGTTTGTTTGTTTGTTTTAGCTGGAGCAGTCGACGCCAGTCTGCAATCCGTCGTTACTCTTCATCACTGCCAAAAGAAGGAAAAAGACACTGTTACAAGAGAAGTATTCTGACAACTGGGCTAGAGTACGTTATATCAGTACCTATAATTTTTTGTTGTTTCAGCATTCAACCCACAGTAACCTGGCTAAGTGACACTAAGTCACTGTTATATTTCTTACATAATTGCCCCGCTAACAGACATGGTTTCCTGGGAACGAGAATGCAATTTGCTATTTGCGTCTGACCTCAGCATAACGTCATCGCAAAGACGGCTTCAGACGAAAACAAAACATGTTGATTTTTCAACGTACCAAGTACACTATGTACATTTTGTACCCTGGCTCTCCCCTTCTATCCGTGCTTTCATCTCTGACCTGTGCACCCTGCTATATTTGGACCATTGCCCGGGGCCATGTCGATCAAAACAACACAGTTCTGTTATTAATGGTACTATGTAGACCTGTGAAGCTCCTAGCCTCCGTAGCAGGCTTATAGAACTGGGGATTTGGTGGTCTTCGGCTGTTTTCTGATTAGCCCAGTTCTACAAAAACGGGGGTAATTCAACCAGGCCGGCTATGTTGTCTATATGCAATCAGAAAATAGTTCATAAAAGCTCCCAAAGACCCTGAAGATCCCCAAACCCCCCGTTTTTGGCGTGCTATGGAGGCTATGAAGCTCCATTCATGACGCCTGGTGTGATTGGAAACGTAAATTGTCAGACATAAGATAACGTTATTGCACAACAGTTGTACAGGGTACAAAGTATGGCATCTACTAGTACATATTAACTACGTATTTTCATAAGGCTAACCTAACTAATACAAGAGAGGGTGGCTAGTATGGGATAGGTATGAACCTTTACAATCACTGGAGGAATTTCTAATATCTATACATTCTTTAATATATATCCCTATGTATAGCATGATATGCACGTATATCTGATATATGTTATGGCGCCGTATCTAGCTCTACCACTGCAGCAAAATGTCGGTCGGCGTAAACAACCTTGGCCCAAAATAACATACAGTCCCCGAACCATTAATATTTAGCCCACATAGTCATTCATAACCAGCCGACGGTCGTCAAAAACGTCCTTAAATCTACCAACCTGCTCATGATCATGGTGTGTTCGTTACGGAGCTCGGCTGTCAGAAACAGGCGGATAGAGACCGAAACGTTACGTATTTGCTGCACTGACCACGGCAGTAACAACCTTGGCTCAAAATAACATCGCCAGTACCCAAACCATCAATATTAGCCCATATACCAATTCATAACCATCCGACCATCCAAAACATCTTTCTACCAACCTTCTGATAGTGTGTACGTTACAGCGTTTGGCTGCTAGAAACAGACGTTACGTGATGTTTGCTGTACTCTGACGGCCATAACGTCTCTGACGACTGCGTGTATATACGTACATTGCCCTTTGAACTTCCAACATTAGAGCTATAATGCCATAGGGGCGAATCGTGTAATATTTTGAAGGGAGGGTGCGTTGCCTGTATAGGGAGCCTGCATGCCCTTTTTCGTAAGGCGTAATGAGGCCATTTTAGTCTTCGTAATCCGTAGGCAGCCTCCCCAAAAATCAACGTAATTCGTAATAGTACAGCGTAAAGTCGCCATCATGAGCTCTGAGACTTTAACGTAATTCGCAATCGGCGGCGAAAATTTTGCGTAATATTTGTAATCACTACCCCCCATGCAGGCCCTCGTGTATAGGTTTAGTCTGCAAATATGGAACTTGGGGCATCGTTTAAGGGAAAAATATTCGAGTAGGCATCCTTCCATCTCAGAGATAATGGTAGCACTATGACCGGTGTTAAACCCTTATAACAATTGGCAGTTTCAGTTGTGACTTGTCCGACTGAGTCCTATCATGGTAGCCTCAGCCACAGTTGGGACTTATAAGGATTTAACTTTCTGGGCTTGTTGTTCTTTTCGTTTCTGTCTTGAAAAAATCTATGTACCTGAAAAATCTGTTGCACCTTCATTATCCCGAACCGGATCGCCCCCTCTTAATTAACGTCTCTATTCCAGATCACATGTCACGTGTACTATCGGGCACAGCATCCCAACTGACCTAGTTTCTGTACGCTGACCTCCGTTAAAACGTGTCGAATAATAGATGATGGCACATACTGACCCACTTTCTCCTTTACTGGGACTACGGCCTTCAGACGATGGCTATTGTACTTTTTGTGGGGAGGGTGGGAGGCGGCTAGCAAGGCCACAAAGCAGAATCCAAACCTACCCGCTAATCTGAAACACAACATTTTGGGCCTTACCCTGAGGGCGTGGCAGAAGGACATCCTCAGAGCCTAACTAACTCCTGCATGTTATACATAGGGATATATATTAAAATATTAAAGACTGTATAGATTACAAACTCTTCCTATGATTGCAAAAGTTCATATCTATCCCATACTAGCCACCCACTCTTGTATTAGTTACATGTAGGTTATTAGCCTTATGAAAATGTAGTTGATATGTACTAGTAGATGCCATAATTTGTACACTGTACAACTGTTGTGCAAAGGTCATCATTAACGGCCATTTACCTGTAACCGTTGCTGTTGCAAACATGTGGCTTGTTACTTACTATCATCCGCTCCTTGTGCTGTTCTGTGCCATCTCAAGCCTCAGACGATCGCTGAGCATCAACACGGCCGCCAGTGCATGTTTTCAATGATATAAAGGCACGAGAACAGTCCTTGGCACGCGTACGTGGAACTGGGATAGGAACACAAACAAGCGTCAAGGCCAGAATGTCAACATGGATGGAATTGTTGGACTGGTGCAGGAATGTCCCACAGGGTGTATCGGCAGTCAGAGCGGATGGTTGGTATTATCCCTAGACTGACTGTCAGTGACTTCTTATCTTAATCAGAAATATTTTCCTTGGCGTTAGTGTGTGACTAGGACTAATATAAAATTAATATTCCAATGGGATGTCACGATATTTGTTTGTGCTAAAAGTCAGTGGCGGAAAATGGGACCCCTTGCAGCTTGATGTTGGACTACACATGAAAAGTGGTCCGAAAACGTACATACATGTATACATGGGCCCATATTTAAATATCTTATTGCTTGTAGTCAACTATAACTGATCTACATCAGTGCCAGCAGTGCCCTGGTATTTTGACAAGGCCTTTGTGATTTGTGCCTACGCGATAATTAAAGGGCGTCTAGCTAGAGGTGAGACAGGGACAGGACATTTATGCGTGCTTTATCGAGGTCAAGGATGATTATGCCCTGTCTGAGTCCGCTCAATGGCGATGTACAGGGTATGATTTTGCCTGTCTTGGTTGTCCAGGGCTCGAAATACTTTTTTCAGCATACCTGCACTGGTGCAGGTAACATTATTAAATAACCTGACAGGTAAGAGATAGACATCACAATTACCTGCACAGTCCCAACAACCTTCACAAAGATGCATATACACCCAGTATTTCGAACCCTGTAGTCCATTAGTGGTCAACCTTATGTTTCTTTTTTCCGGTCTTAAATGGCCTTAACACAGCTCTAGATCAGGCTGTTCCAGGTCGACATTTAGCTACACAGAACAGATGGTTTCTGACAGTCATTTTTATCGATGACTCTGCAAAAGGCCTTGGTTGCAATGCTTGCTGCAGGCTTTTGATAACGGATACGATTGTACTGATATCCGCAAATGTTTCCAGCGCAGTCGATGACCGATAGGACAAATCGTAACGTTACAGTACACACTGCACTGCAGTACAGGTTGTTTTGAAGTGGCTTCAATCCTGAGCATTTGCTTTGTTAGTCATGACTTTGCATGTTAGAACTGCTATTAAAAAATTGCATACTCACAAAGTCTAAAGCTTTTCTTTGCAACGTTGTTTTGGGAGCAAAACTTAGTAGTCATTCAAAAAAAAAAGGAGCGAAACAAACAAAACGTTGCATCATCATGTAACTTAACCCTGGGCCACGTACGAAAGGTCAATGTCCTCTTGGTCAGCCGAAAGTTCACAACAACTTTTATCAGTTGTGGCCATGTGAGGTCGATTCTCATGCTCTTTACAACAAACACACCAAGGCTAGATTAATATAGATAGTCAAAGCTGCCACGTACAACGTACTTTGTTTTCCACTGCATGTAGAGTTACAACATTCAATGGCTCTTCTTGGAGAAAACTGTGTTAGTTCTTGGAAGCCACGCAGGGTCTGTTATATCCGAAAGACTTATGATTGACGAAAAACTTGCTTACATGTTTTTCACACTACCCAAATTGGCTACGATAGTTTCTAGTTTTACTGAAGAATTATAACTAATATCAACAGTATAATATGGTCAGGAAAACCACCTGTTGACAACAACGAAAAACGCCTTCGGCAATAACCTAGAATTACCTGGAATTAGTCTAGGTGTTAGTCCACGTGAGGTCGACAGGTCGCTTCTCATGCTCTTTACAACAAAAGAATCAAGGCTAGATTATAGACAGTCAAAAGCCACCACGTATAGTCACAGGATACAACGGATCGTACTTTCTTGGAGAAAGCTGTCAGTTCTTAGAAGGCAGACTTGTTATTTCCGCAAGGTCCTTAACTCCAATTAAACTAAGCCTGTCGATTGACAAATAATTGAATCATAATTTGCGTACTCTCTTTTTCCACACTGAAAACATATTGACTACGATAGCTTCTAGATTTACTGAAAGATTAAAACTAAGATCTACAGTGCACTATGGTTAGAAAACCTGTTTACAAAAAAATGCCTTAGGCAATAACCTAGAATTAGTCTAATACACATACAACAAAGGCGAATTCTACAAACTTACCTGGACAGAGTGTTTGAAACCTCCTTAAGAGACGAATCTAAAAACTCCAAACGCTATTCTTACAAGAAAAGCATTTGCTGGACGTCTAGAAAATATGAAATTCAGACAAAAATTGTGTCTACCTCTGGTCAGAACGTAAACACTGCCAGTGTGATAACCTAGAATTGGTCTCATACACATAACGTTACAACAAAGAGCGAATACAAACTCACCTGCTCAGTGGCTTAAAACCTCTTCAACAGAACTCCAAACGTTATTCTTACAAGAAAATCAGTTACTGGTCGTCTAGAAAATATGAAATACAGACAAAATTGTGCCTACCTCTGGTCAGAACGAAAATACTGTCGGTGATAACCTAGAATTAGTCTCATACACATACAACAAAGAGCGAATACAAACTTACCTAGATAGAGTCTGAAACCTCCACAACAGAAGAATTTAAGAACTCCAAAGTTATGCTTACAAGAAAATCATTTGCTGTTCGTCTAGAAAATATGAAATACAGACAAAATTGTGTCTGTCTCTGGTTAGAACGAAAACTGCCAAATGTCAATCAGTTGACACGTTCGATCGGGTGATCGGCAGGGTTGAACTTTGAACCTATGATTACACAATCGTTATCCAATCGAAGCGCGCGTTACGTCACGTGTCTGACCTTTGCACCTGTCGGATTGTCACGCGCCTTTTGTGACCTCAGAACAATACTGTATTAGTACAAGTGAACACACATGCACGAGTTTCTTGATGTTGCTGCTATGGGTAACTGGTTTTGTTACTATGGATATTGGTTTTGAAGCTATAGAGCTATCTTTAGATCATTTTCTAAAGGTGGTCAATAGGCACCTTAATTACTTAATAGTAGCACCATAATAATACTAATAATACTATTATAAAGGAAGAATTGTATGAAATTTCATGCGGGGTGTATCAATGCTTTGGCCAGATTGTTAGACTTAGAGATCTATTGTTGTACCTAGAACACAAAAAATTTATAATATTATAGTATATTATAATAACACATAATATAATAATACACTTACATTCTTCAAGTAAAAATTGTTTATTAAATGATAACAAATATCTTACTCCTATACATCATACAATATGCAATCTAAAGCAATATAGTAACAAAAATGTGATAATTTGTTGTAATGATGACTCTTTTTAGGAAACATCAGCAAATATCTTATAACATAAATTCTTAAGTCTCCACTGTTTCTGTTTTATTTCCTTAACCCACAGCCTTCTAAGGAAGCCTTTTGGCAACAAATCTGCAGTGGTTACCAGGTTAGTTGGCAGAGACAGGGTTAAGTGAATTACACAAGAAGACATCTGCTCTATCCCCTCTTTGATAGGATAATTCAATCAATAGAATTACAAGAATGAAGGTACAAAAACGCCCCCTGGAGGCTTTCAAGTGAAGTACTCCAGGCTTGATTTGGCCTTTTCCATTTCATGTAGAAAGCTGTAGAACTGTGGGAGCGTCAACTCTGTAAAAAAACACCATAAAAAGATAATAAATGTATAAATGATATGAGAATATTAGAAAAAGACATACTCAACATGTGTGGAATGAAGGCTGAACAATATCTTTAGGACATGGAAACTTTTTTTTTTAATCCTATGTCCTATGATCCGGAATAACACACTGACCAAACCGTTAACATGGTATTTGTATATGATGAAAATACTAAGAATAATGCAGAAAAAAGTGGAATTTACCCATGTAAACGTTTTCTGTCCTGTCTCCCTTGTTCACCACTAGTTTCAACTGCAAATAGAGAAGTTTTGAGAACAACATATATCACATACTGTCACTAAACAACTACAAGGTATTATCATACAATTGAATACTGGACTACTTCCAAGGTATCTACTGAAAGTACTAAATGCTTATGTGTTATCTTACACTACTAAATTTGTACATCATATCACAGCAATCTGGGAAGATTATTTACTCACTTGTAAGAACGTGTTGCCCACTTTTTGCACCTCACTGCTAGCCGCTGTCACTAAAAAGTGAAAACACGGAAAAAATGTTCAAAAGAATGTAACAACAACAAGAAGCATACCTACGCAGGTTGGAAAGCAGTGAAGGAGGCTAAATCACAGCATGGGGGCCTGTACACTCAAAAAGCCTAGCAAGAACAAGTTTCAGGGGGATGAAACACCCATCATGAAAGTCTTAGTAAGTAAAACCTAGCACAGAAAATCCAGGGGGTTGAAACACCCCTGTAAAGAAAGTCCTAGCTAGGGAGTCCTCTCTTACTCTTAGGAGCACACCCTAGCTTAAGTCAGTGGGAATGGCCCTTGTAACAATGTGTAAAAAGTGCTATCATGTTATGTACTTAATAATGGTTTTATTTTGTCATGTACAAATGTATAAACAACCACAAAAAAACATGACCTTACCCCCAAACTTCCACTCCATGTCCACCAGTTGGTTGACCATCAGGGTTTGACCCATGGCCATTCTGGACAGGGCGGCCAGGTTAGACTTCCACTGGGCAGAGACAAAACAAGAAACTCTGTCACCAAGTACAGTAGGGGCATTATCACTGGATAGCTTTAAACAATGTTAAGAGTTAGATGTTCAAGGGTTAGGCCACATCGACTTAATTTTATGGATGACATCCTCTGAAGACCCCCAAACTAGTGCGCGCAAATAAAAAGAAAAAATTCTGGCCAAAAATAAAAATGCTACTAAACCACAGGAATACAAAGCAGGTATTGTGAATTTGCGGCAGTACTTAGCAACGTATACAACAAGCCGGCACATGCTTCATATTGTCTCTAATTTCTATAGACTACCTAGAGCCAGGCCAGAGCCTCGGTGGTCGTGAAAATAGCCAGTTGAATTACATCATAGAATGGATGTTCATACTTCCGAAAATAATTTCATCAGGTTGGTAGAACATAGGATATTGGGATTTTCTTAAACACAACCAGGTATTGTTCCTACTTTGCTTACCTGGTTGTGTATAAGAAAATCCTACTGTTGTATGAAGATATCTTACCTGACTTTCTAGGTTTGATGCTCTTTCTTCTGTCACACCTAGCAGGGAGATGTTAGATGTTATTGGAAGAAATATACCAGCTGTTTGTGACAAATGTGAACCAACAAAATGCACTCTGATTTTTATCATTTCATACACTTTTTAGAGTATCTCACAGCTTACCAAGGTTGGTCAAGTCTTCCTTAAGAAGGGCTGGTGTAAGATTTCTTCTCAGGGCACCTGTTATTGTTAATGCAAAATGTATAAAATGAGAAATCAATTGTTGTATTATTTCTTTAAAATTTTAAAATTAGCTATGAAATTTCACATTCAACCACAAATCAAAAGATAGATAGTTCCGGGGCAACTTTGTAATTAAGTTTGATGACATTCTACTTTATGTTGCCCTCGAAATATTCTGTGCACCTAAATTCTTAGGATAGATGCAGCCTTGCACCTATTCCAAGTTTTGAGCCCTGAATATGTAACCTCTTGTGATACATACATCATTATATGTACAACACAATGATACATATCTTTACCATTCAGCACTGAGAGAACACTCTTCACCACGTTCCTGAGTGGCCCTGCACTGATCCCATGATGCTCTGCAAACTCATCCAGCTGCTGCAGCATTCGGGCGGACTGAAAAGTAAAAAATCACAAACATGTCTTCAAAGTCATGAAGAAAAACTGAGGAAAACATCTCATCTTATCTATCCCCTAAAGTCTAATGATGTGACTGTTGCCAGTGTTGGGTACCGAAGATCTAAAAACCAGTTCTCCAACCTTCTCAGTTTTCTGTTCTCTCAAGGAGGTTGAATGCACTTGCCTTTTGATTTCTAACCTCCTTAGTTCTCCTTAACATTTTACGTAATAATAAGTATCATGCTTGTTCCTTCTCTGATATTGTTATCATCCTCCCAGCTTTCCCATTGCCAACCCTTCTTTCTTCTACCCTGGACTGTTCCTTGCATGATGGTTTGGAATAGATTAAGTCTTTGTATTAGTCCATTTGTGATATGAAGTTTAACGTTACCTTGCTGGGTTCCACTAGAAATGAGAAGATGATGGAGACAAGCTGGGAAAATTGCTGCAGGAAAAAACAGGGAAACATACTAGTAAGATATTAGAAAATATTATCAAAAGCATTGGCCTAAATATACACAGGACGCTACACTGCATATATCTTTACCTTCGCCAAGAAGGTTATGTTTTCAGAGGCGTTCGTGTATGTGTGTGTGTGTGTGTGTGTGTGTGTCTGTAAACACGATAACTTTAGAAGGCCTTGGTGGATTGTCTTGATACTTGGTAGGTGGGTAGGTCTTGATGAGACCTCAAAATGATTAGATTTTGGACCTCCTAGCGGCTTGTTATGGTACTGCAGCTGCACTTCCGGTTTTGATATCTCATGATCTAGACATGCTAGGGTGAGGAAATTTGGATGGTAGGTAGCTCTTGTGCTGGGGAAGAAGTGACATGAGTTTGGGCCCCCTAGCGGCTTGCTCTGGAACTACAGGACTATATGTTTGAAAATATTCAACTCAATGTAACTCAAGAACCGGTTGACGGATCGTCGTGATTTTTGGTATGTAGGTAGCTTATGTGATGCTTGATATAATTATTTGACAATTACGCAAATATGGATGTAATTTGCATAATTTATGGGGATATTCTATAAATCAGCTTCATTCCATGGTTGGACTATTGAAGCTTGTGACATTGGTAATTGAGAATAAGAGAAACACAGACAGATATTAATTATGTAAATGAGGACTTAATTTGCATAATTAATGAGAAAATTTTATAATTATGTAAAGATAACTGCCTGGAATTTCATACTTGTGGTATTTGAAAGTTAAGTGAAGGTGAACATCACTAAACATAATGTATTCAAATCAGGACCTTATTTGCATAATTTATGAGGAAATGCTAGAATGGCATTGTTAATATAAGACTGTCTTTTGGTTGAGAATATGATAGAATGATATAATTCATGATTCTATTTGTTAAATCAGGGGGGAATAATCTATAATTTGTCAGTCATAAAGATTAACATCATTTGGCGAAGGTATGAGATCGGGGAACTCTAGTTCATAAATGTAGCAGTACTCAATTGAATGTGGTGTTAACTTCTTACATTTTTGCATTCAAACATGGGCGAAAATTATCCTGACTCCGGAAATCATATGATGAGCTCAGAAATTATGTTGTGATGACGCCCCCTCCCCCTTCGCACAATACACCCGCATTTCCCGACAGCGAAAAGCTTGCACCGAATCTAACTTTAACGCCAGCGAATTCTACACACACTCCGCGTTTCCCTACCTCGTCCTGGAACTTATTGAGAGTCTGCATATCCGACGAGGTATTGCAGTCGTCTCCCCAGTTCGGTCAGCCACGGCGGAAGAGCCACACTCCTATTGGTCAATGCTATATAATCGACACAATCCCATTGGTCGATCAAAAACAGTAACGGGGTGCAATAGTTTCGCATGCAATCGCGGTTTCGCTAGTGTGGGGAGGGCTACCGACGTCTTTGCCTCGATTTTAGGTGCAAAAACGTCAGCTTTTACAACTAAATTTACTGCATTTCTGTGGCTATAAGCTCGGGGGACCAGGAAAGGCACCACACAGATAATATTTGAGTGGATTTTAGGAGGGGATCTACCGCCAAAACATCATATTTGGTTATATGGCTAACGTTATATTCAAGGAGGTTTAAAATCTTGTAAATTTGTATTTAACCTTCTTGTTTACATTGCAGTACGACGTGCGTAATTTTGCATTGTGCAGTCGTTGAAATTGCGTGTCCCTTCTTAGTCTCTATCAAGCTTAGGGTGGCGGCTGGAAAGAGTAGAAATCGGCCAAATAGAAAGATAACATGCCAGGGTCCACTAGAGGGTACAGTAACGTGGACCAGGTAAGGCTCTATACAGGTAATATTTACATGGCCCTTTCATCTGTGGACCAGGTAAGGCTCCGTACAGGTGATATAGGCATGGCCCTTTCATCTGGGACCAGGTAAGGCTCCGTACAGGTGATATTGGTAATGTTCTTTTATCTGTGGACCAGGTAAGGCTCCGTACAGGTCATATTGGCATGGTTCTTTTATCTGAGGACCAGGTAAGGCTCCGCACAGGTGATATAGGCATCTGGTTCTTTCATCTGGGGACCAGGTTTGGCTCCGTAGAGGAAATATTTTTGTGGTAGGATCATACAATTTATATTTTTTCGGTCATTTGTATCTTACATATTTTAATTTTTGACATATCTACATATGTAGTTATCTCTCACCAACAATATTTTTTTCAGGGCATTTGCCAGAGAGGAGAAACTGATTAATGCATCACAATCTGGAATTGGTGGAAGTGCCTTGTTTAGTTGATAGCAAGAACATGAATGCCGAACCCTGACTTATGTTATTTTGATTTTGTCAGGTTCTTTCTCCAAAATGTAGAATAACTAGAGGTGGATTGTAGTTCTGAACTGTACAACAAGTCTGTGTTTGATCGTTTGTATGTTTGTTTTCTAATTGTCTGAGTGTCATATTTTCTAAAACTGTTGAAAGCATAACATGTTATACTGACTTAAAGGAACTACATTCATTACTTGTAGTACCTGTAGACATTGCCTGTATATTGATGATACATTGTGTATCTTTTTAACAGTTTTCAATTATTATTAAAGATGCAATACACCTTTTTACCCTTGTTTCACTAGACTTTTTCCAGTGTAATTCAAGTCAGTATACAATACACAAACTGCAAATGCACAGCATTAAATCATGTATCATGCATGTCGTTTACAACCCCAGTACTTGATGGGATTGACTGTGTAAAGACCAAAAAGGATTCGGAGGTAATGTAGGATTAAGGGATTAACATGATGAAAACTTCAGAAAATGACAGCCTGAAAACCCCTTTTAATGGTAGCACTCAATCTTTCCCGGGGAAGGCAGTTTAGAGAAGTCTACGACGCAAATGTCAACTGGAAATAACTCAATAATCAATTAGGGCATCAGACATGTACAGGGAATTCATCCAGTCACTTTATAAGCTTCCATGAATATACCAGCCGAATTTCAAAGAAAGTGTAGGCGAGATATTCGGAAACCGACACGTTTTCAGCTCGCGCTATATAAAGCGAGTTCGCCTTTAAATGGCTATGTTTCGCATAGACAAATCTAGGTCGATTTTTACCGCATCACATGAAGTTGCGAACTTTCTAGACCGAGAAGGAAGTGATAATTTAGGATGAAACTTGAACATTAGTATCCTGACATACTGATATATCTGTGTTGTTAACAGATTGGCTTTTCTTTCATTCCTTTTTGCAGAACTTCGTGACAGGCCATTCGTTTGGCTTCATTTTCGGCTATGCCCAAAAGTTCCCCTTTAACGTGCGGCATCGCAATACTAAGATACATGTAGAGTTAGGGATTTACATTATGAAATAGACATAATCTTCTATATATTCTGTTGAGGACCTTACAGTGGTATCGCAACTTCCTTTTTCATTGATTGCACCTAATGGTTTGGGAGGAATGTAAACTTTTATTTTGAAAAGTTGTGAGAGATCTATGCTTTCATGAAGAAATTTCAATTGAACATAACTCGATGACTAATTATGACATCAGCATGGGAACTCATACAGTAACTTTGTAAGCTGTCATGAACATACCAGCCGAATTTGAAAG